ATTGATGACCAACAAAAGGCCCTCTTTTATTTCATTGTGAACCCTCATCGTAAACATCGTGGTTTGCAATTATTTTTTCATCCGCTGTTGTTGTCAGAGGGCCCGACCAACCCAAGAGGCCTTCTGACATTTGGGGTCCCTCTTCCGTCCCGGTTAAGCAAATGCTACCCGGGCCCACTCAAGCCTGTTGCCGACACAGGACCCTCTGTTCGGTACTGTGGGCTCCTAAACTACGCAGAGACCCTCATTGCTTCAATAGGTACCGACCACAGCAAATTTTGGCCGTTTCCTTGCTCGACAGTGGGGCCGCCAGGGCCAGGACACGCGTAATGGATGTCTGATAGGCTGCGCAAAAAATCGGCGCCGCTGGGCAAGATTCCAGAGGTAACCCCAGAAAACTTAAGTGCGTCACATTGCCACTGCCCCCTGTCAGTGCAAGGGTTAAGTTCCTCATCAAGGGTTTGACTCAAGTGTCTTGAGTCAGCTCCGGACTGGTTCACAGATTGTGCAATCCGATTCAGCTCGTGACTCAACTGTTCCATTTTTCATTTGACCAAGTTCAGCCTGTTTTACGATTAATTATGATATGTTCTGCCTTAAAAACAATGACTGATGCACAATGCTCTTTTGTAACATGAGGTAGGAAAGTCCACCCTGACCTATATATATATATATATATATATATATATATATATATATATATATATATATATATATATATTGGTTTGGAAAACCAGAGCACTGGGCTCAGCTCTGGTTTTCCAAAATGGGGATCCCATTAAAAACCAGTGGGTGTATGATCCTGTAGGGTGTAAAGGACAACATCCTCCCTAGCTTGGGCCTTTGTGAGTGATGGTAGAAATAGCATAAAGTATGCTGCAAAACCCCAGGAATGGAACAGTTGGGTCACTAGCTGAATCAGATTGCACAATCTGTGAACCAGTCCGGAGCTGACTCAAGACATTCGGGTAAAACCCAAGTATGATGCGAACCACGCCTCGAGAGTAGTATCAGATTATTTGCACTATCTGGAGACAATATCTTTCCCAAGACCCTGTAGTCCAGGATATATCAATATCACACTCAGCCGGTAGATAACACTCTTCTGTAAACCACGCGCAAGACCTCCTCCGGGCACGTTTTCCAACCACTTCCACGGTACCCCCCCCCCCCCCCCCCCCCCCCCCCCACTGACCACCAACCGACCGACCTTGCCGCGTGCTAGGACCAAGTCGCATTCAAATGTGAGTTGGGAACTCAAAATGGTGAAGGTTTTCTACTCCCATCGAACGAAAAGAAATTCACGACGCTCACCTCTAAACAGCCTCCTTTCCTCCGCTCAGTCCTGGGTTACCGGGCTGCTTTGTTTAGCATCTATCGTACTAAACGCCGCCACTTTTAGTACGAATCGGTACTAAACACGATTCCCCTCTTAGCAAACATCCGTACTAAAAATTCTCGAGGATGTGTTGACCCTGCAGCCAACGTAGCTCTCCCCTCCTTCGGCGGCACAGGTACGAAAGTAAAAAAGCCGTACACACACCTAAGGCTAGTACTGCGGACACCTTCAACGGAGGGTGTCTGTGTTGCTTTGGTCGGGGCGGGTGAAGAAGGTAAATGGTGCTGCACCATTTGCTGGGAAAGTCTGGCAACGACCCGACTTTGGCTAAACGTGTTCTCAGTCAATGCAGCAAATTGTCATTTCTATGGCACATTACTGCTCAGTTGCGTAGCCGGGGTGTGACGCAGGTGGAGGTAAAAATCGGACCTCAGGGGGCCTGTTTAACTGGTTGCAACTGTTGTCAACTGGTTGCATGATGATACTGCAGACATGTAGGAGTAATGCATGCCAGGTGGTCACCAGGCTAGACATATCTGCTTTTGAAACACCATTTAGGACTTGTTTAGTCATGCAAAAATGAAAATGGAAGCTGTAATCTACATAGAGATGTGCTGGAACAGTGTCCCCCCCCCCCCCTTCCAAAGGAATCACTGCACTGTGGTGTGCTGGGGCAGGAGAGCAAAAACATGTTTTTATAACCTGAGTTGAGTTTTTATTCCCCTATGCCAGATCAGCACCAAACAAGCATCTCATGGTCAGGAAAGCTTTCATGCTGCCTCCAATACAGGGACATTGATGATGCCAGCAGAGCATCCATGTCACACAAGCATCCTTTCTTCATTAACTCCAAACATTTTTCCAATCTGCCTTTCTATTTTGATTCATGGTGGATACAGACATTATAAATTGTCATTCATGAGCCCATAGACAGTACCTTGCTGCAGATATCACATTCCTGATTTCAGAAGAGTGCAAAATTGGTGAAAGGGAGGGTACATGAATGCATGTATGTGTAATGAGTGGCCAACTTGGTACTGAAGGGCTGGTTTCTGCTGGCACTCTACATGGCATAAACTAAATGTCAGCTATTTCCAGTGGTGTTTGCTGGCCTATGGGGAGCCTGTTGCCCCCAGCAGCATGGCCTCATGGCTACTGTCAGCCTGCTGAGTACTGTCTAAGGGGCAGTGTGAGCAGTCCTTGCCATGGTAATGTTGGACGACTCTTGTGCCGGAATTTGAGGTGAACCCAGTAGGTCCCATGGATGGGCTGGTGAGGCTTGAGCAGTGTTAGAGGGGCATGCCAGGTGCCCCTGCTTCTGGTGCCTATGGGCAGACTACCAGGGAAGTGGTGAAGGTCATGACAGAAGTTGGATGATGCTTGGTTGGAGAGACTACCCATGCACATCCCGGAAGGAGGGCCACAAGGGCATTCTTGAAGAAGCCCACCTGTCTGGGCGATGGGGTGCCCCCCATTGGTGGTCTCCACCAGCACTCCCCTGACATGAGTGTCTGTGTGTAGTAGCTGCCAAGGGCTAGCGATCCTCCAGTCAGCAGCCCTATGTTTGTGATCAGCATAGCCCTTCCTAGTAGCCTTCAACTCCCTTGCACCCCACCTTAGGCATGGTCACTGGAGGGGGTAGGTGGTTTGCTATGGATGCCTGTTAAACATCAGCTGAGCTGGCAGCTCCCAAGTCCAGGGTCTGGGCAAGGGGTGTTTTAGTCACCTTTGCCTGTTGTTGCTGCATGTTCAGGCCCTCCAGCAGGCTGGACTGCAGGGGATGAGTGTGAGCAGCTTCACCAACGTCCCGGCACACCCTACCCTGGCCCACTGGGGAAAACACCCATGTTGGCAGTGGCTTGCCCCATGTAGACCATTGCCTGAATTTCATGAATCTTGTGAGCTGAAGAACTGGAGCTGATGTCGGATTCAGATGGGAGACTGGAGAGTGTCGCACTTCGGTCTCTAGGGATGGGTCAATGGCTGGGAGCTGGGGGCAGGCTCCTAGGGATGGGTCAATGGCTGGGAGCTGGGGGCAGGCTCCTAGGGATGGGTCAATGGCTGGGAGCTGGGGGCAGGCTCCTAGGGATGGGTCAATGGCTGGAGCTGGGGGCAGGCTCCTAGGGATGGGGGTCAATGGCTGGGAGCTGGGGGCAGGCTCCTAGGGATGGGTCAATGGCTGGGAGCTGGGCGCAGGCTCCTAGGGATGGGTCAATGGCTGGGAGCTGGGGGCAGGCTCTGTGGTGGGCTTTGTGTGGCCTATCCTGGTATTACCTCCATTACTGAGGGGCACAAATTCTGGTTACAGGACTGGGGGACGATTAGTCTAGAGAGGAATGATTTCATTGCATGAGCAGTGAATGACCATATCATAGGTATTTGAACATTCACTGCATGTCACCATTGTCATTGCATTAACTAGACCATTGCATAAATAATTCCAAGCCAAGTTCCACTCGCCCCGCAAACTTCATGCTTACCATGTCACCATGACTGACGCAGTTTTGGAGATCAGGAGCTTGCCAGGATCGAGTCCCATTGGCGTAATGTCCTTTTAGATACATTTTCATGGTCTTTCTTGGTAAATGTTATTGTAGCATATATTCTGTAACAGTTTGATGCGAGTCAGGAAAGTTGTCTGTCATAGGAAATCGGTTATATGTATCTGAAATTAACTGCAAAAATATGTGTTTCCAGGTGACGGTTTAAACTTCTGCGGTACATGGCTGCAGCTAGTACAGGGACCACAAATATTGTGCAATGGTGAGGAAGAGGCTTGTACCTTAAAAATTTTGAGACACGTGTGAGCAGCCACAGAGGGCAGCTTCACTCAGCTTTCAATGGCGGGAAGTGCGCTGAGCGGATCTGCTGGTACTTGCCTGTTGGACGGGGGGCCGTTATTTAATTCATCTTATCTCAAAGCATCACAAATCAGGAGCGTCTGCGATATTGCTGATGAACGCATGCAAGTGTGCTGCAGCTCATCAAAGATCCAGCTAGTGGCAAGAGGCAACCGTCACAGGTTCACAACAGACAGTCCAGGTGCCACCCGGGCTGCTGCATTGCCCGCATCACATCGTGCGGTGCGGCGTTCAAACGGCTTGCTGGTAACCCTTGGCGTGTGCGGTTGCAGTCGGCCATCTTCAACTTCCAGTCTCTGCTGACGGTTGTGCTGCTGCTGATCTGCACGTGCACATTCGTGCACGCCATCGTGCCAAGCGTTTTGGACCGCAACAAGACAGGGTACGTGGAGTGGTCAGGGCTCGGGATGTGGCAGAGCGATAGCGGGACATATTTTTGCCGTCGTAGTACTGGGTAATGGAGGTCCTCACATTGAGTCCATCGGCGATACCACGGGGGCAGAACGCGTGGGGCATGGACGAGTGGGCATGGGGAAGCGGAGGGGCTCCCGTTTCGTGCCGCGGCAGCTCGCTCCTGCTTGGCGCCGCGGCAGCTCGCTCCCGTTTCGCGCCGCGGCAGCCCGCCCCCGTTTCGCGCCAGGGCAACGCGCTCCAGTTTTGCGCCACGCCGCAGCAGCCTTCTAGCCGCGCCACGCTACTTCATACAGATTAAGGCTTCTCACTGTCAGAGAACGGCCGCAAAATCAAATTGTCTGTGGTCTCATTGTTATAAAACGGTACAAAATATGGGTTTTGTTTTTATGCTATTAACTATTGGCCGGGTTACACCAGGCTGCCTGCTAGTCCGGATTGCGGTTTACTGGCCACGCTTAGTCGGCTTGATTCGAACGGCTAATTGCAGCCTTTTCAGTCCATCTGGTTTGAGGATCCGTCATGCGTCTGTTTCGCCGTTTGACTCTCGGCCCCCATCGTCGTCGCATAAATCCTTGTGACGACCACCCGTGGCGTCCGCCCTCTGCCCGTGATTTCGATTTATTTAATTTCGGCCGCGCCACAAATTCGATTGCCACGGGGCGTGATGAAAATTTAAGACTCCTTGAAAGCCAGACACCACAGCGGCGTGATCGCGGGACGACACCAGACGTTATTGTCCGTTCATATTTAGTTTTACCCTCGTGAACGGCCTGATTCATTTCAACTACATATATCTGAGCCCGATGAAGAACATAACAAGCATACCATAGGAATGAAACACCCGGTCATTTTTGTCGGCAAGTAGCATGCTCCAGCGGGAAACTCTGTACGGTGGGGTTTTCCGCTTGACGATCGGTCGAGTTTGCACAGATTGATAATGAAAAATATGTTTAGCTCCCCCCTGTCACTCACTAAACATGTCACGAACCGAGAAAGAAATCTCTTGCGCTGGGCTATTATGAGATCTTGTCGTCGAAACGCCCTAAAACGCGAGCAATCAATCAATGATTTATTATTGTATATCCATGTAGTGTAACCGCCATTTTCCCCGTCGGCGCCCATCGTCGTCGGACCGACACAGCCAGGCGGGCGGCCAGCCCGTTCTGACAAGTGACGCGCGTCACCACCGCGCCTCGTGTGGAGTGTTGTCCCCAGCGGGCGATGGTGACGACGTTCTGTCGCCCCGGCAGGCTGATGGGGACGTTCTGGAAGTTCGCCCGGATCGGCGAGCGCCTGAGCCCGTACGTCTGCGTCGCCTGCTGCATGATGGCCTTCTCGGTGCTGTTCCTGTCGTGATACTGAGCGCGCGAACGCCATGCGCGTACCGACTGCTTTATTACACTTGTGGACACGTGTGCCTGGTGTCTGGGTACAAATAGGCCAAGTGTCCGGGCACGGGCAGGCCGGGGTGCGATCGCTCGCAGCCTTGCATGGCATGATACACTGGCCACGGGTGATGCGTGGCACTCAAAGCCGTTTTGATTACACCACGAATACAGCAATGTGATATCGATATTGGGTAATAGGTGACGACGATATCTGGATTATATTCGTTCGTAAAGTACTACAAAAACAATGAACACAAATGGATACATTGATGGTATGACTTTCTCGTACGACGTCCCAACTCCTCACACGCATGCGCAATTGCCCCACGCGCACTCATGAAGAGTAGCCAGTCAAGGGTCTGAGCAGGCTCGCCGCGGCGACAACGTCGACAGAGGACCCCGCCTATCACGAGACAGCGAGCGGCGGTGGGCGGCCGTGTCGCCGGACCGGGGCGGCCCCGGTCCGTCCACGCCACTGAAGCCGACCGCATCGCCAAAACAAGCCGAGCAAGCATGAAAGAAAACGGGCAGCACCGGAGACCTCCAGTCTCCCGCGACCACGCACATCGACCCGAAAACGAGCGGCGAAAAGCAAACGAAAGCGGAGGAAGCTTCTACCCCACAGGGCGCGGACAGCCGGCATCGAACGCATTTGGCACAGCAAACAAGAGCTCGCGCGCGCCAGTAGAAAACAGCCAATGGGCGGGAGGGGCTTCCCGGTAATATCTGCGCGGCGGCGGCGGCAGCGGCCTGGCGGCGGTCACACGAGCGGCGTGGATGGCGCGGGCGCCGCGCGCAGGCTGGAGCCGGTCGCGCTGCTGGCCGCCTGCCGGATCATCTCCTGGTACGTCTTCTTGTGCTTGTCCAGGATCTGCGTCACCGTCACCAGCTTGCGCAGGTTCGGCTGCCGACGGGCGTCGGGTCACAACGTGCGGCCGCACGCCCGGCGTCGGGCCACTTAGGTGGCGATAGACATTGGGGTTCTCCTTCGGTGCAGGACACCGGTCTGTCGGGCCAGCAGCCAACCTCACGCGCAGGCGCGGATCACATGACCAGTGCCGTGGCTTGACGGAGCCGTCTGCCAATGAGGGTGGGGGGGGGGGGGGGGGGGAGGGGGGCAGGCTCAGGGCCGCGGCATCACAGTAAAATTGTCAAGTGCAAGTGCCTGGTCAACAACCCGCGTCCCAATCGACATCGTCTGCGATCCTTGCATATCTCGTCTCCGATGCGAACATCAGCGCCTCTCGACGCGTGCATTGCCGACATGCCGTACAAGCATAAGTTTTGTTTTCGGGTTCATTCGCGACAGCTTCACTCGGAGGATTCAAACATACATGAGTCAGATGGTGCACATGTTGGCCAGAAGCCGTGTGGTTCTCAAATTGGATTGGGCGCAACGTGCGCACGTTTTCCAGACTTTGGGAACCATGCAGAACTTGTGGCACCGCTCGGCTTCCGGGCTCTAATCATCTCTCCTGGCGTTTTTTCCACCGATGGACCGGAACCGTCCTTCGTTTGGCATGCTACGAAAGTCGGATGAGAAACAAATCTAGGTATTTCGAAATGTCCCACCACGGCGTCGACTCCGAACTAGATTGGTCGCTTGTCTTCGGTGTACTCCTCCGCCTTTTTCAGTTTTTTTTTCATATTTAGGAGCCTTTCAATATCCACATGTGAGCCCCGTTACTAAGGATAATTGGCGCTGAGTCTGAAGCATAGTTACTCAAACTACTCATCTACTGCACAACAGTACAGCGTGTGAGCATTTCATGCCGGTAAGCACAACAACAAAAAAATCTCCTTTTGAGAACCACGGCGTGACGACGGAGCGTCTCAGACCACAGCTGCCCTCGAACCCGTGTTCGCCATGGCCGCCTGCGCACGCGGCCACACCTGCACTTTGCACTGGTCCTGGATGTGTTTGATGTGGAGCGAGCAGGTCTGGTGGATGGTGCCCAGCTCTCGCGCCGGGTCGCCCTTCAGCGGCAGGTCCTCCGACTCGGGCCGCACCTGCACGTTCTGTCGGATGAGGGGCGCACGGTTACGCCGATAGTCGACGCTGCCGCGCCGCCCAGCGATGCCGGAGCGGAGCGCCAGGCAGGTGTGCTGAACATTCCGGTCGGGCTACCCTCCCCAGGTGACCTCCCCACCCACGAAATGCCCTTGGTGTAAATGCCCGACCGCGAAATGCCCATCCGCTTGGCTTTCTCAATGACGTAAGTGCGAGCTGATCGGTTCCTTTTCCGATAATGTCAAACATCAGAATGCAACACGTTAAATTGGCACAATTTTCAGCCGACCAGGGTCAGGCCCATGGCACTCGTGAAACCAGTGGCACGCAGGCCAAACACCACGCTGTCTAATTCACGGGCGTTTGGTCACAGGCAATTTCCTTGCCCAGAACCGCGCCTGTGAAGCGGCAAACACTGCGGAAAGCACTCAACTCGCATCAGTGTATGTACAGCCAGCGCATCTCGTACCGACAGGTGGTCGAGGAAGATCACCATCCGCTCGCGGTTCTTGATGATGAACGGGTTGACCACCTCCATGTAAGGCTCCTTGCCGCCGAACTCCACCAGGTTAGCCAGGTTCTGCAGGCACTTGGCCACCATGACCAGCGAGCGGGCGCCCTGCAACGGAGGCGGCTCTGCGGACGGACGGCCGCCTGTCAGCGTCGCGGCCGGTCGGCACCCAGCACCGCCGTCCGCCGCTCACAGCACCGAGCGGAACAGGGGCCGCGCCGCCGAAAACAACAGTAACCTCCTGAGGCTTGCCAGTGGGCAGCAATCAGCACACCACACTCCTGCGGACGCGTAGAGATCCGAGCCGACCGCGCCAGCCCGGCCCGGCGGAGCCCCGGCTCCGTCTGCGTGCGGGCTCAGCTCCCTCCGTCCCTGCCCCCCCCCCCCCCTCCCCCCACCCCGGCCGGTGTCCGCCACGTACCGGTGAGCAGACCGAACTGGCGCGGGTTGAGGATGGCAGGGCAGATCAACCGCAGGAACACGAAGCCCGAGACGACGCGCGTGCGCACGTGCTTCTCGTTCGGCCACTTGGCGGCCACGCTCCGCTGCAGGCAGCCGCAGATATAGCGCAGCGTCCTGCAAACGGCGGAGAGCGGGTCCAGACACGGCGGAGCATGGGTTTAGACACGGCGGAGCGCGGGTCTAGACACGGCGGAGCACGGGTCCAGACAGCGGAGCACGCATCCAGACACGGCGGAGAGCGGGTCCAGACACGGCGGAGCACGGGTACAGACACGGCGGAGCACGGGTCTAGACACGGCGGAGCACAGGTCCAGACACCGCGGGCGGGGGTCCAGACACAGCGGTCGTCCAAGACCTCCGTCGGCACTGAAGCCAGCGCCAATGGTACGGGACACAGATCGCTGGGATCGCACAGATCGTGAAATCCGCGCGGACTCCTGGTCGCCGGGCAGGGGAGATCGTCATCCCACGCTACAGAGCACCAGTCGGTCCGGAGAGAGAGAGAGAGAGGGGGAGGCTTTACCCACCGGGGACAGTCCTCTGCCGACAGGAATATGGAATCGGTGATCCTATCCAGCACCTCCAGCAGGTACTCGGCATTGCTGCAGGCGTCCTCCTGGTGGCCCATCTTGGACGGGTTCAGCTGAAACGGCCACAGCAGTCCGGTGACGGGGACTCCGGCCACGCGGGCGGTCCTCGCCTCACCCGACCGACGGCTGACCCCATGGTGAACATACCGCCTTCAGCGGGATATGCATGTAAAACACGCCAAAAGTGGATGCTGCGTCATACCACACCGCCACCAAAGACTCGAGATCCGGCGTTCAATGCAAACAATAGAGAGCTGCATGAACACCTTCTGTTAAGGCGACGTGAGTTGATACCGATACTTCATTCATATGCGGTGCGTGGTTTTCTGTTGGAGTACGCTTGGTGATCCATGCACCAATTCTCGCCAGACCACGTCTTGTGCACTGTTTGTAAGCGCACTGATCCATGCAGTTCTAGAACCGGCCACTGCCTGGAGGGTAAACGACACTGAGCAAAAGCCGCGCATCCTTTTAACCGGATGCAGGTCACAGTAGGCCGAGCTTTATCTCGTCACAGTGTGCCGAGCTTTACCTCGTCACGAGCTTTACCTCGTCACAGTGTGCCGAGCTTTACCTCGTCAGTGTGCCGAGTTTTACCTCGTCACAGTGTGCCGAGCTTTACCTCGCGACAGTGTGCCGAGCTTTACCTCGTCACGAGCTTTACCTCGTCACAGTGTGCCGAGCTTTACCTCGTCAGTGTGCCGAGTTTTACCTCGTCACAGTGTGCCGAGCTTTACCTCGTCACAGTGTGGCGAGCTTTACCTCGTCACAGTGTGCCGAGCTTTACCTCGCCACAGTGTGCCGAGCTTTACCTCGCCACAGTGTGCCGAGCTTTACCTCGCCACAGTGTGCCGAGCTTTACCTCGTCACAGTGTGCCGAGCTTTACCTCGTCACAGCGTGCCGAGCTTTACCTCGTCAGTGTGCCGAGCTTGACCGTCAGTGTGCCGAGCTTTACCTCGTCACAGTGTGCCGAGCTTTACCTCGACAGTGTGCCGAGCTTTACCTCGTCACAGTGTGCCGAGCTTTACCTCGTCAGTGTGCCGAGCTTTACCTCGTCACAGTGTGGCGAGCTTTACCTCGTCACAGTGTGCCGAGCTTTACCTCGTCACAGTGAGCCGAGCTTTACCTCGCCACAGTGTGCCGGGCTTTACCTCGCCACAGTGTGCCGAGCTTTACCTCGCCACGGTGTGCCGAGCTTTACCTCGTCACAGTGTGCCGAGCTTTACCTCGTCACAGTGTGCCGGGCTTTACCTCGCCAGTGTGCCGAGCTTTACCTCGCCACAGTGTGCCGAGCTTTACCTCGTCAGTGTGCCGATCTTTACCTCGTCACAGTGTGCCGAGCTTTGCCTCGCCACAGTGTGCCGAGCTTTACCTCGTCACAGTGTGTCGAGCTTTACCTCGTCACAGTGTGCCGAGCTTTACCTCGCCACAGTGTGCCAAGCTTTACCACGTCAGTGTGCCGAGCTTTACCACGTCACAGTGTGCCGAGCTTTACCTCGCACGACTGCTTGGACTCGACGATGCGATTGATCATGTCGGAGACGGCGACGTGCAGGAAGCCGGTGCAGACCGACTTCATGTAGAGGTCGAGTAGGGCGGTGGTGAGCGAGGCGCCACGAAACAGCGTCGACTTATCCTCCTCCGTCTCGATCTCCAGGTCGTTCAGCGTCTGCAGCAGCTCGGCCTCCTTCTTCTCGTACCTGCGGCACGGCGTGGGGCGGGGTCGTACAGGCCGAGGCCGGCCGACCGGTGGCTACGGGCTCACCCCTCGTGATGGATCGCATCAGCCTGAACCACATTAAAAGGCAGCCCAGTTATGACTGTCCCTGAATACCGTGACCCGTAGCTGGCCACCAATAACTTATCTGGACACCGTGACCCGAAGCTGGTCACCGGTGGCTGACCGGAACACCGTGACTGGGAGACGCTCGCACACGACTGACCTGAACACCTTGAGCAGGGCGGCGGCCAGCGGCACCCGGTCGCCGTGTCGGAGACCGGCCAGGGCGCGCACCGCCTCCAGCTGGTCGTCGAGCAGCAGCTCCTTGAGCGACGAGTACTCCTCGCAGGGCATGGCCAAGTCGTGCGTGTAGCGCAGCCGCAGTCGCAGCGAGCCCCACTCACCGATCGGCGTGATGCCCGACAGCTGGTGCCAGTTCTCCGTCTGCCGGCCGGCCCGGGGCGTCACGCTCAGGCAAGCGGGCGCCGCCGATTGGCAGCGCCGGCCGGGCGCCAAGCCACCTCCGGCAGGGAGGAAGGGGGAGCGCGCCACACAACTGATACCCGGATTATTGTAAATTAATACCGGTCTTACGTGAACGAATGCTGCCACATCCTTCCCCTGCATTTGAAAAGGCTAGTATCAAATGTGTTCACGCTGAGGCCCATAAGACGGATTTCATCCCCGTAGGAGTCACCCGTTGGCCTCGTGATCACTGACCTCCTCCCCGCTGACAAGGTCTTTAAGCTCGAGGGTGACCTCGGCCACCTCGTTGTCCTTGGAGCGCTTGCCCTTATTGTAGATGATGGCACTGAAGGTCAGCACGTCCGGCGGAAGGTCGCTGAAGCGGTTGGTCACAAGTCAATCAGGTTGCAGTTCGGTGGAGCGACGGGCATGCCAGAGAGCCGCAGTTGGAGCGATGACACCGTACCAGGACGAAGACATAAGCAGCTGTGAGGTCAGCCACCTGGCACTCCGAATGAACAAGCGGGTACCAGATGTTAACGTTGTTCACCATGACCGGATAAAAAGAAAGAAAAAAACGGAGAGCTGAAACTGGAAACGCCCTTCACTCACTCCAGAACGAAGTCCTCGCCCCAGACGGGGTCGGGGCCGGTCTTGACCTTGGTGCGCGCCACCTTGACCTGATTGACGGCGATGACGCAAAATGGACTGGGCACCAACTTAAGGGGCAGCCGGTACGCCTCGAGCACGGAGAGCTGCAGACAGCGCAGCTCGCGCAGGTTCGCCACCTTGGGCAGCCGCGCGTTCTGGGGCACGCACAGCGGCTTCAGCGCCGCCACCCAGTCCTGCGGAGCGCAAACGTCCTGTCAGCTGGCATGACATCACGTCAGCCGGCGTGACGTCCCGGCACCGCTCCACACGCACAACGCGACCCGGACGGACAGTCGGCGGCGCGCGGTCCAAGGACAGCACGCTCCACACGCGCCTCCAACAAGGGCACACCGCGGCATTGAAGTTCACACAAGCGTGACGCCAGACGTGCGAACAGGGGTGATTACGTCATAGGTTGTGGCACGCGCAGCGGCGGCATGACCGCGCACGCTCCGGGGAACCGACCTGTATCGAGTCGGCACAGCCGGCGCACAGGTAGGTGACCGTCGCCAGGCACGGCAGCGCCTTCTCCACTATTTGAAAACAGAACGACCGGTCGAAGAACGAGTCGTCCACGGGGTACACGTAGGCACAGCTCAGGTCAATCAGACCTTTGGGTTTCATCCGCTGGAAAGAGACACAAACAACGCTGATTACGAAAAGGCGCATGCCTACATGTGAATGATATATTGTCTCCAGAGGTTACCCAGGCATATTGTTTTTCAAGTGCTCCGGACAGTAGCCTCCAGTGTGCCACATTCATTACTGCACGCACAAAATACCGAAATGAACGAATGTGAGAAGATTCGAGCAATCTAAATAGTACCACACCTTTGCTACATGACGTGAGTGAGCAAATGACTATTTTCTTCTTGGAAACAACTTGTTGATTGGAGTTTTAGAGCGCGCCGACTACCGAGGTCATTTTGCGCCCATAACAGCTAAATTACTACCTACCTATGTAAATGGCTAAAGGATCCTATGTTATGCTGAAATAAAAACAGCAGAGTCGTGACAAAAACGTGAGATTCGTCACCAGTGATGTCCGATTAGACAAGAACTGGAGCATCTCGTCGGAGGTGACGAAGGCAGCGGAGCACACGAAGCGGAGACGGACGAGGGCGGCGAAGAAACCGACGCGAAGGCCCATGGGGCCCGCGGGCCACTGCAGCGCCGGACCAACGTCCAAACCTCCTCTCCGGCAGCAGACAGCGACGCCGGGGGGGGGGGGGGGGTCGGCAACATGATAGGTGTCGACCGGCCCGGCACCGGGGATGGAGCAGGGGCTTAGCCCGGACGCCAACGTCCGCTACAGACTGGTTGGCCGGCGATGAGGGAGTTCGGACGCCGGCTGGGAGCCTGGTGTACGTGCTGAAGGTGCAGCTGTGAGACCAAATGATCTCAGGAGTCCCGCGAACTGGGCGACGGCCATCTGCTCGATGACGTTGTTGTGCGGCAAAGCAGTTCTTACTTTCGATGCATCCGAGAGCTTGGGATGATTCGCGTCATACAGGTATCTGGCCTCTCGGAAAGATATTTCTTTGGACGTTTTCAGCAAAGGTACCTCCTTTTCTCTGAGGAGCGCTGGGCACGTACAGTCAAACACAGCGTGTGGTGTTTGGTCCTTACTACAGTTGACGCAATAAGGATGGCCAGCGGTGCACTTGTCCCTTAGGTGGGTGGTAGACGAACATTCACTGCACACTGGCTTATTGCGGCAATGGGGTTTCGTGTGGCCGAACCGTTGACATTGAAAACAGCGCATTAGGTTGGGAACGAAAAGACGGATTCTCACGCGGACAATAGCCCCACGAATATCTGATTCTAGATCTGGACGATTGAAAGTGAGAATGATGTTGCTGGTAGCCGTCAGTTCTCCTCCTCCTCTCCTGACTAGGATTCTGCACGCGACGGTTACATCGAGCCTCGAAAGCTCCCCGGCGATTTTGTTCCCACTTACATCACGAAAGTCACAACAATTTACAACGCCTCTAGATGAGTTTGTTGTGTTGTGAGGTGTTACTGTCAAAGCTACGGTTTTGTCATGTTTCCCGTTCTCACCACGAATAGTGTAAGTGAACTCCTTCGCTTCTAATGCGCGCTTCGCCTCCAGACTACTGGCGAACTCTACCTCGATGCTGCCATCCCTCAGCTTGTCACATCTCGTGATGTCTCCAAACTTGTCACGGCCGTTCCGTCGTTGTAACGATATACGTTGGATAGAAAGCTTTATATCTCCGCTGGAGAAGATCAGAATCCGAGGGCAAGGGGAAGGGGGGGGGGGGGCGAATCCCCCTTGCACCCGGGCCTCAGCGCTGTCCGACCCCCTCCCGGGGGTCAGGTGTCCGTCGAGTTTTGATAAGCCATGCGATTTCTAGCAAGCATTCGGCACCGGGGCTCTCCACCCACCTCGAAGCCCAACTGGGGGACGGTCCAACACTCCCTCGGGAGGTGGTCACCGCCAGGGCTACCCCGGTGCTATACGGGCGAACGATGCCTCCCAAAAGGTCAGGTGTAACCGGGGAGACAACTTGTAACACGAACGAGTGAATAAAGGTGTTCACTGACGTCTTTCCCTAAAAGTGACGGTCACGCCAGGAGGTCACTTACCTTGGGATTATCATAGAAAAGGAGATGTGTATCTGTTCCCTCTACTTGCAATACGAAGTACATCGTCTTCCATTTCTTGTTCTTCTCGTTTTTCTTACTCAGGTATCCCTGCATCTTAACACCTGGCATAAACGACTGTATTAGAACACATCTAAAAAAACTGACAGTACATAATGCATTAACGGCGGTGTGTGGAAAGACAAGAAAACGCTGTAGAATCTCCATGTACATCGTTTATGTCTGCAACCGGCGATGACTACTGTCTTTGCAGCAATTTTCTGGACAACAGGCAGTCCACACAAAATAAGTTAAAAACAGAGTGGGACCATGTGACACAAAAACACCATCACCAACATTCCACAAGAACAGCACTATCGCAGGTGAGTTTTCGACCCTGTCATCATCAGCGGATGTTGAGGCCGTTCGCGTACCTTTGCTCTTCTTGAGTCCCTGCATCTCCCTGCACTCGCGCAGCGTGGCGTAGATCTCGTCGGCGTGTTTGACGTCGCGGGACTGGACGGGGCCGTCCAGCTCTGTGCTCGTCTTCTGCGGGGGCGCGGAGCCGGTCAGAAGGACACACACACAGTGCCCCTGGCTGGTCTGAGCGGCACCAGTAGCCCCGGCCGGCCAGCTCAGCACCGCGCGCTGACCACACCCAGCGGCGGCAACAACCGAGTGTGATAAAGCATCTCGCAAAGCCATCAGCAGCTGGTGACACCGTGGCTTGCTGGAAAGTTACATGCTCCCTAATGTACACATAACCTCTAGTATGTTTTCGTGTCGCAGTCACCGTGACCACAAACAAATACAGACCAAAGCGCGATCCCACTCATCAGACTATCCGGCGCCTGCTGCCAGAGCACCAGCACGACAGTGCGGTGTGACCACAGCTGTACAACCGAGACCACCACATTCGGAACTGCCAGAACAGCTCAGTCCAGCCCAGCCCAGCCCAGCCCAGCCCAGCCCAGCCCAGCCCAGCCCAGCCCAGCCCAGCCCAGCCCAGCCCAGCCCAGCCCGGCCCAGCTGGCCGCGGAAGAGCACGCACCTTGACCGGCTGCGAGAGTGTATGTCCTTCCACTATCTGCTCCACCTTGTACCGGTTGATGACGGCCTCCAGACACTCGAACGTCCGGCCGCCCATCACGTACCTGCCCGCGCCAACGCGTAAGCAGGCGCAGGGCATCGGCCCTCACCCATCCGTCCACACACCGGCTATCAGCCACAGCCCCGCATTGCCGTGAGAAACTCTTGCATCGGCCCTTACCCATCCGTCCACACACCGGCTATCAGCCACAGCCCCGCATTGCCGTGAGAAACTCTTAAGGACAAAAGCAGTCAAGCGAGCACGGTCAGATCACGAACGAACAGAAGCATGGCCAGGACAGCAGTTTGGTACGCCACACCGCGCAACAGCTCGCGCCTCCTATGGACACTACAGCACTGACGTCGCCGATACCGCCACTCCACATGACCACCCGCTCCTGCCATGGCCATGACTGCGGCACTGACGCCGCCGACACCCACCGGACGCCCCTCTTCTCTATCCGGAACCGCTGGATCTGGTTGTTGATGTGGAAGAAGAGCGAGTAGTCGCCGGGCGAGTTGTCGCTGGGACGGACCAGGAAGCTGCCCGGCCCCGCTGCGGACACGGCGGCCGGTCAGCGCGGGCCGCGTGCTCGCGGCGCCGGGCACGGGGGAGGGAGGTCACGCGACACATGGCCGCCGCGCCCAGCCACACGTGCGCTGGCCCGGGTCACGCTCTGGTGTTGTGCGAGACGGCGACGACGGAAGCTGAGCGCCGGCCACGAACACGGTAAGCCACGAACACGGAACGCGATACGGTGAGCAAATCTGCCACCGGTAGCAAATGCTTCGCGGACAGCGGGACAGATCGAGGAAGGAAAAGCGCCCACCACCACTCTTTGCCAAGGTGGAACAAAACAGGTTCAGGTTCCTGCAGCAACCCCGCCGATGTGAGCGATTTCCCGTCAATGTCGTTCTAAGGACTAGCGCATTGCAGTAAATGTCGCTTTAGCCTCACGGCCGTGGAAACTGTGCGCGCGTTACGCTCACGTACACACCGGGAAAAGCGGCGAATGGCGAAGTCGGTCACCTTTGACTAGAAGGTCGACGGCCTCGTTTTTGGAGACAGTGCCGTGGAACCAGGGGTAGACCGAGTTGGGGTCGACTGTCTCGTCCAGCGTCTCGGTCAGCTCCTGGAAGATGAGGCCCTGCTCGCCCGACCGGTGCGCCGTCACCCACAGCCAGCCGTCACCGCAGTCGTTGTGCACGAAAAATATGTCGCCCTTCTGAAAGCTGAAACCGAGTGGTGTACGTTCGTCATATCATCTTGAACAAGAGGGTTACAGGGATCTTTAGAGAAATAGCTAACAGCATGCTACAAAACGGATGCTCGAATAGCCCATGGCAACATCCGCAATGCACAGAGGAATGTGCCACGTCACGTATAAAAGTGAGGATAAAACTCACCGCTTGCCAAAAACAAAAAGGCCCACGCTTGATAGCTACTTCATTATTCTATGTCCTCAGAAGGAAGTGAAGTGGTGCTGCGCGTGGCACGGCGCTGAAACATCACGACCACCCACGACAGCACGGCAACCGGTGCCGCCTGGCCGGCCTCTCCTCGCAGGATCCCGCGCGGTCCCGCATCTCGGACGGCACTGCGGCACGCGCCCCGGCCGCACCTCAGCTCCTCAGTGTCGGGCATCTTGGTGTAGGGCAGCACGGCGACGGCCTTGCGCCTATCGTTGACGGGCTCGGGCGGCGGTACCGGGTGCTCCAGCCGCTCGCGCTTGAGCAGGTCCGAGTACTGCGTGTAGTAGCCGATCAGGTCCGAGAGCGAGGCGAACTGGCGGCCGCCGATGTAGAAGTCGCCGTACACAGCCGTGATCCTGGCGGGCCGGCCCGGCAAATGCCATTGGTCAGTGGCGTGACGCTGACCACCACTCACCGGGAGAACTGATCCGATGATGCCCTTTCCCTCGCTGGCCTTAAACCGTTCCATGGTTTACGGCCCCATGAGTCAATAACCAGGTTCCGACTTGAAACTGGATTATCTTACGTATGCCTGCAGTGATGTCAGAAACATCGTACCACAGTGATGGTCGGCGGACCTGCTCACGCGCAATCCCTGACACAAAGACGATGACAGATTTTCGACACCTGCTGAGCCATGCATTGTTGTTTCGCCTTTGCCCAGCAGTCAGACTTTCCCAGCTGACCTGTTGGTGCGCTTAAGCACTGCGACACCGTCACCTACCAGCGCGTAACGACAATTATATGTCCAGGCGTCCCAGGCATCATCTCCTTACCAACGCATAGCTGAACAACCCAGCTTACAATGGAAGTACAAAATGTCGGTTTTACGCGGAGCAACATCCCCTCCACTGCTACGTTTAGCCACAGCACCTCCCTACACGCAAGAACCCTTTATTTGCTTGGTAGGTAAAAATCTGTAGACATTTCTTATCAGCAATCAAGTCTGCAGCGTTTTGGCATGTAACACGAATACAAAACCGGCGGGTCGAGCAGCTCTCAGCTGGTGACATCAGGGCCGGCACTCACCGGAAGTGGTTGACGCCCGTCCTGCCCAGGAAAGAGAGCACGTACGAGCCGGGCTTGCGGTCCGACTCGCGGATGAGGTAGGCGCCCGACTTGCCGAACGCGCGCAGTCGCTCCTCCGAGCCCTGCCGGTCCAGCCGGCCGTGGTACCATCTGGGGCGAGATGAACGCTGGTGAGGACGGCACGCCACCACAGCGGCACGCCGTCGCGCATACGTCCGCGGCATACAAGCTCAAGACCTGCAGCTATCTGCAACCTTCCATGTCAGCTTCATGGAAAAGAAGCACTCGCCACACAGTCGTGATTAGTTTGTGGATATTTGTCTCAGATTGGAAACTGGATTCACATGCTGCATTTTGACCATGCCTGTGGGTTCCCAAACCTGCAAATTTAAAGACTAAGCCATCACAATTAGTTTGTCACAGGTGCTCAGCTGATTGGATCCTGAGATACTGGACAGGGGTTGGAGTGAGGGGAGCGCTAATCCAGGTGCAGGAGAGCTGAAGAAGAAGACATGTATATGAAACACAGCTTCAGCCTTGCCACAGTCACCCACCACTCCTACATGACTTACACATTTGTGCATGTGAGGACATGGAGCTACCTGGTCCCTAGATACTCCAGGAACCATTTCTGTGGTGGTGCCATTTTGCACAGCCATGCCACAAACATGGCCATTGCACCTAAAAGTACTGGGGGTTTGAAACTCCTCCCTGACTCCATGGCAGCAATTGGCAAAAAGCTCAATGGCCTGAGAAAACTTGAGAGAAAAATAGCATCTAGTACAAACTGAATTTTATTTTAATGCCAAGGAAACATAACAAGCTTCATGCAACATTGAAGTGCAATGCAAATGCTGAAAATTGCTGCTTGCAATTTTGAAAATTGCAAAAGCCGGCCATTTGCAGTGCCAATGGCCTAGCACAGATGCAGCACAAACCAAGAAAAAAAATGCTGAGCTGGTTCAAGGACATCTTTCTCCACACACAGGTTAAAAAACATGGACAATATTATGCACATATTGTGCTGCTAACAGCACAACCCTTTGTGAAGAGTGAGAGGAACAAGGGGAAAGCAGATATGAGGGCTACCATTTGTGATCATGGATATGAATCCAAGCAAATGAGACATCCATGGGATGGAAAGTTCACTCTTCATGAGAGACTTCCTGACAGAGGTTCATTGATGCTGCATTTATGAGCCATCCAACAGATAACATCACTGGATAATTGGGCTACCTGCCCTGCAATATATAGGCTCTGGTTGCAAAATATATGTATTTGCATTCATTTGCAGTTTGAGCATTGGTGGCCATGCCATTGTAAAAGCACAAACATTGTTTGGTAAAAAAACAATACAATAAGCAAATCTGAAAGCCTGTGAACTTTTAAAGGCTCTATTTCTCAAGTTTAGGTGATAATGTCCTGCATTTGAATCAGTTTCAGAGAAGGCATCCTTGCCTTCTCTCAAGTCACTTACTGTTCTACAGGTCAGACAGTTTAGAGATATATTAGTAAGTTATGGCAGGTATATCCGATTCTATGGTGCTGTTGGCTTTACACACTCACCTTGGCAGTTGAACAACAAAAAGATCTCAATGAGCGCAGCCCCAAAGCGAACCCACACCACATCAGAAGCATGGAACATAGCTTATAATCTTACCCCACATTCCTAATCTATGATATACAATGTGGGAAAGTGAAAAATTGGTACCTCCTTGCATATTGCCTGAGAAGTGATACATCCATCAATGATGGCTGCACCTCTTGATTTGCTTCTTTACAATTGATCAACTTATAATCCCTACAATCTCTACAAAGAAACATATCTAAAGATGTGCACTGCATGGCTAAATATCTTATCTGATTATGTGCAAGCAGAAACTTGGCTTAACATACACAGGGAAAATAGCACATCTCACAATTCATGATTACCTAGGGTAGCTGATTCAGCATTTTGATCAGACACCTCTTTTTCTGAGAGAGAACTCTGAGGAGCACTATTGTGCCAATGGACAAGTAATGAAACATAGTAAAACACAGATACAATAGAACATGGTAATTTACAATGTTATTTTGCCTGCATCAATAAAAAAATGCATGACATGTGAAGGCATCTAGCATGCATGCCTCAGTCATGGAAAATGAAGCATTTCTCAACTGCTCATTCCATGCCTAGAGTACAGGTGACACCTTATGTGATTCCACAACCAGACAACCAAGTTGGCACTTAAGTACCAAACATGCAATACCATGCATGTGCTGTACAGCGCTGATGGCTGAGCACCCAGCAGCACAATCCATCCACTAAATTCACTCACTCCTTTTCTGGCGGAGGTTCATACGTGGGGTCTTCCTCGACGTTATTTTGATCTTGAAAAGGATCAAACTCGTCCACAGCGGGCTCGTTCGGATCAATATCGACATTCGTCACATGTTGGCCACAAGATCTATCTCGGTACCTCCCAGTCCCGGGTCTGGCAGAAGCCATCAGCACTTCTACAACAGTCACGACAAATATAAAACAGCTGTGGAGCACCTTAAGCACTCACGCTGCCCCGCCCCACCCCGGGCCTCACTTTCTCAAACGCGCTCCCCCCGCGGCTAGCCCACACGACCAACACCATTGGCTTCGCTGCTTTGCAGTGCTGTTTACCTCGAATGGTACTGAAATAAGACGTGAAACGACGCTTAGTCCTTGAAAATGTCTGTCTTTTGAAGTAAAATTTGGTAGCTTTGAAGGTATTTGTTCCTTTATGGCTTTTTAAAATGATAAAAAGTATGTACTATCTAATATGCATGCAGTTTTTCGAATTATTTTGAAATAGGAACGGAAAATTGGACCAAACTTTTTAGTTTTACTCAGTTTTTTTTGTAAAAATATCAAACTAAATCCAAAAAATGTTTTTTCTGACTCATTTATCTGCACCAGGTCTGTAGTGTTTGGAAGCATATGGTAGCACCTTGGCAAGACGCTTACCACGAGCATGAATCATCGCAAGTGATCGCCCCGTCATTTATTGGTACGGGTTGCTGTTTCAGCGGAGAGGGAGTTGTGTTTTCCACGTGAGGTGTGCTGTTGAATTGGTAGGGTTGTTTATGCTTGAGTACATGCCTAACTGAAAACATCATTGATTCCTTTTGGCTGCAGCATGGACATGAGTGTCCGGAGGATGTGTGCGAGTGTATTGTTCCAAAGTTGTTTTGTTTTAAACCATATTTCTCGCTCTCGTAAAGCTATGAAGCTTTTCCATTCTGCTTGATATCTTAGGCGTATTATAACGCCAGCCTTATCCCACGGAAACACGTGTGAGGGTTTAGATATTTCAGCATGAACAAATGAAAAGTTAATCAATTTATTTGGTATGGTTACCATTGGGTAAACACACAGGTTTCACTTCATTTCTGTGGTGTACTCACAACATTGAAGCTACAGTTACTACTAATGTGCACTGTAGCTCACACTCCACACTCCAGGTTTGGGACATGTTAAATAGTATTTGTGCATAGAGCCAATGTTTTGGTGTAGGTATACATTGGTACCTAAAGTTAGAAAAGAGCATGGTACAGCTCAAATGTTTGCTAATGTATGCCATGACCTTTTCATTGTGGGGCATATATGGTCAAAGCAATCTCTTTTTGAACCTTCTGTGCAGCAGCTAGAATTGACTGTGGATGTAACCAGTGGTTACAAAGGTCCCTGCTGTTGCTGATTGTACCTGGTTGTCATGATTGTATCAGAGTTTGCCATAACCCTTCCATCATGAGTCAAAGGTTATTATCTCTGGCAGTGACTGCTGTGTTAATTGTTAAATGTGCAGATGGTAAATGAGTGCAGATGTTTAATAAGTTGTTAGTCATGGTGTACATTGGTTCCTAATGTTAAAAAAGAGCATCACACATTGTTGTTTTTAAGGCACAACATATTAATAATCATAAATCATGTACATCTGTGCTCTTAACTTCAAACTTCAATAATTATGACAGCAAACCACCAAGCTCTGCAAACACAGCACCCCAGCATTATTTCTGCGGTATTGCTGTGCGACATAACACAACTGTGCATCAAGAACCATAAAAATTATGGGGCCAGGTTAACAAGAATGTCATGAATTTGTTTTGTATGTCCAAGCAATCAAGTGATATTGCATCATTGGAGTTGCATGAAGTGGGATCATTTAGGGATTTTGTGTCACTGGATTTATTAGACTGACAGTCTGACCAATAGCACTTGTTGCTTAGTATTACAGGATGTATTATGCCTAGTCTTACTCCCATTGCAATATTAAGTTGTCTACTAATTGATATTTTTATACATAATGGTATAAATAGTCATAAGACAGGAACATTTCATGGACAATTAGTCACCTTGCCCTCAAAATATGATAATTACTATAACAACAGCAGACAGCAGTAAGGTAAGTAGACTAGGTGTAGTGGACTAGGTCTGGTCTGGGTCAGTCCAGGTCATAGTAGACTAGGTTGGGTCAGGGGAGGTGAGGTCAGATTAGATCAGGCCAGGTCATCTAGGCCATTGATCTTCAAATCCAGCAATACTAAGGCTAAACAATCCCAATTCATGCAACTCCAATGATACATTATCCCTTGACTGCTTGGATACACAAGAAACACATTTCATTATATTCTTGTCACCTTGGCCCTGTGCATTTTTATGGTTCTTGATGTACAGTAATGTGATATAGCCATGCAGTTAAATAATATAACAATGGTGCCAGAGTTGTGTTTGCTGTGTGTTTGCAGCACTCAGATGTTTGCTATCATATTTATTTAGGTTTGAAGGTAAGAGCATAGATGTACCTGTTTTATAATTATTTACTATAGGTTCTACCATAAAAATAACAATTGATGGGCAATGCTCTTTTAACATTAGGAACCAGTGTAAACATGTACCTTGTGGTCATGGTATAACCTTAAATACCATGGCCTCAAATACTTAAAAATGATGATTGACATACAATACTCTTTTTTAACATAGGTGCCATTGTAAACCTGTACCACATTGCCTGATTTGAATGTCATTCAGGTAAAGAACTGCCTGTTCAAATGGCCTGCAGGCTTCAGATGTCATATGAGTTTGACCAACATTTGTCCTGGTGATGAAGGTTTACAATCTTATAAAGCTTAACACAAATAACTGTCAAAGCACCAACCTTCTATTTATATCACCACTAGGATGATGCATGAGCTGGTCACCAGGCAGACTATTAGACCAGTTAAGTGCTTAGATTGTGTGTTGAGTTGAAATGTTGAGTTAGTTCTTGGTCATTTATCAATACTTTAGTTGTAAACACTCGATAAAATGTTTGATTTAACCAACATGTTGTAGTTTAACCGATGTGTTTGGAGTTAAGTTGAAATAAAACTTTGCATATTGCTGACTGGTTTGGGTTATGAACAACTCCCTTGGCATTTCCAAACTTTTTGATATAGAGCTAAGCAGATAACATAATAAGATTGGTCTCAATGGGATCTGATGATACATGCTAGTTTGTATGTTGTTGAGGCAATGATTAACCCCATTATGGCAAATCTAAGGTCAAACTCTCCAAATGTATTTCCCAGCTTCATGACATACCTTAAAGACCATGCCTTATGGTGATAGAAACTTAAGCAGGTGTGTTCCTTGTTCAATTCTGAATAGTATGTTGTATACATTTGTGTGTTTTGAGCATACCCTTGTGATATATGGCTCTGTTGGTGTAGCAATGTTCATCTGCTGTGCACTTCATGCAGCATTGTTGGTTGCTGCCCCCTGCCCACTCTGTAAATTGCTATGCAGGGTTCCTTGGAAACTGCAGCTGCTCTGAAACTAGAAAAGCTAGGAACTTGGGGTCAAAACACATGCAATGGATGCCCCACAGGCTACTGAAAATTTTGGCATCATTGCACAACATGCCAGAGAGATGCCCTCAAAAAACCTTAGGGGAGTGACATTGACTTCCCCCATTCCTCTTATCAGAGCAAGGATTTATGTGTGCTACAAAACACACAGTATGGCATGCTGTGCATGAAAATGATATGGTTTATATATTGAATGATATGGTGTGAAAAATGATTGTACCTGTTATGTGCTATAAAAGTTAGAGCCTTCTGTGTCTATCAAACAAAAGAGTTGAAGTCAATTTGTTGCTGAGTTATGATGACCACTGTTTACTATAAGGTTTTCTTCCTGTGATGGCACTTGAATGTCACAGTGTGTAGCAAGGAAGTGGCCATTTTGCCTAGCTGTAATACATGCAGAGCTGTGTAGTAGTTTGTCAGTGGGACTGGCGCGCTTACCGCAGTCCTGTGCGCATATGGATTTGTGTGTTTTGAGCATACCCTTATGATATATGGCTCTGTTGATGTAACAATTTTTGCAGATGTCCATCAGCGGGCGAAGCGCCATGTTCAGCAGACAGGTCAGCGACCTGGCCTCGGCGCTGCCCGACGAGCGGCCCGTCACGGCCGTTTGCGTAGTCGAGTCGATATCCGGCTGTCCGCCCGGCTTCACCGCTGTGAGTGGCTCCGCAGGCTCCGCGCGCTCGGGCTCTTGTGACTGTCCTGGCGACGGACAGTGGTCAGTGACGGTGATGTGTGTTGAACGAGCGTGCCGATCGTTGTTTGGTTTATGTATGTATGTATGGTTTAGCTTGTGTGGTTTAGCATTATGGTTTAGCTTGTGCACTCGTGCCGTGGTCGGCGTATGACGCCACGTGGTTTAGCAAACGTTGTACTTGACACTGTGGGGCTTAGCCGATGTTGTACTTGACACTGAGGAGCTTAGCAGATGTCGTACTTGACACTGTGGGGCTTAGCAGATGTTGTACTTGACACTGAGGAGCTTAGCAGTGCTTGACTCATCTGTCAGCTAGACTGATGGGAGCAAAGACGATAGTGGGAAAGTCGCCCTTGGGTCCAAACTTCGTTGTAAATATCATGCCTTATGTTGAAATAACTTGTACTTCAATTTGAGTGCATGTTCCAGTCGCTATGCTTTTCTGGTATGCCACTTTTGAATAGTCACCTGTGAAGAGACATCCATGAATGAGTGCATTCTGCGTCTGCCATCGTGGTGTAGGAACAGTATACGTGGCATTGCACGCGAGCGAGAGAGGCGTTCAGACACTTCCGTTCAGTGACGGCGTCCACCCCGAAGGTCGCTAGGACGTATGATCTGGATACGGACGCCGACCTCTGGAAGGACGGCTTCTGGCGTCGGGAGACACGCTACCTGTGCCTCTCCAAGCTGGAGAACGCCGGTGTGGCGGGCCACGTGGTCGAGGATGTGGCGGTGATCGGCGAGCGGGACATGCCGCCAGAGAGTCACACCTTCCTGCCGCACACCACCGACACCGGTGCGGGCCGCGCGCGCTCTCGCAGCAGGGGCTCAGTGGCGCGTTTGTCTGCGGCAGGATCGGGTGGTTTGTCTCGCCGCTGGGCTAGGTTTCCTCATGATGTCTTGTCGTGAGTTTGGAATCGGTGGTTTGTCGGCTCTCGCTCCGTAGTGTGTGGTTTTGTTGTGTCCGGGACCTATTCGTGGCCACAGTTTATTTTGACGCTCTAAAGGTGGTTTTTCGCTGTCGTTTCATATCATGTCCCTGCTTTGTGCCTCGAGCTTACATCGCACAGCTGTTTGGTGTTGTTACTTCACCGCCTCCCTCTTCAGAGCCCGGGCTTTGTATTGTTCCCCTGTGCTGTGCCCTTGCGCCTTTTCCGCCAATAAGCTGTGTCCCAATGGAGCTTTGCTTCCCTGTGACGTATTGACCCCGCGATGTGTCCTTGCACTGTGTCCTTACCTCACCGTATTTCCTTGTGCTGTGCTTCAGCCCTTTAGTACGTAACCCCACTGAAACTGATTGGCTCTCCCGGCAGGAAACAAAGCCTGGAAGAAGAAACAGCTCGTATACAAGCTGACGGCAGTAGAAGTGGCGTCTCGCTTCATCGTCGACGTGATCGTGCTCGGCCGCCAGAAAGCCAATCCGGAAGGGTTCTCCCTGGTCGGGTGCGTACTCTCTTTGCACATCTTACCCTCTTTCTATGTGTCACGCTCGCAGGCCCCAGCTATCAACGCTAGTACTTTCGGCGCGGTTGCGTTTAACACGTTCATCCCCCAGCTGCCCATTTGCCTACTATTCTCGTCCTCGGACGTCATGGTGTGTCTGGTCCGATGCCTGACCGTCGGTGATCACTGCTGGGCCCGGTGCGCCGCGCGGCCGGTGATCTCTGCCGGGCCCGGTCCGCCGCCCACCCGATGATCACTGCCGGGCCCGGTCCGCCGCGTAGCCGAGGCTCGCAGTCCGCGGGCGCGGCGTGACCGCCGTCCGCCGCCGTCCGCAGGGAGCTGAATGGTCTGCTAGTCTGCTGCAAGTACGGCCAGGCGATGCCCACCCCGAAGAGAGCGGCGCCGGCGCCACCTCTGCCCTACTCGTGCGTACACGTGCCGCCGCGCGGTCCTTAGCGGCGTGTCCAACCGGCCAGGCGGCTGGTAGCGACCTCGCTCGGCCGCTGTGAACTGCTGGCGTCGCCCCCGGACCTTCCGACCGCGCGCTTTTGTGGCGGCTGCTGTGTGCTGGTCGTATCGTTTCAGGTTGAGCGCCTGTTGGCGTGGTGTGACGTACTGCCAATGGAGCCGTGTGAGTTGCGCCATCGGCAAGGTCCGGCAACCCATACATTATCAGCACTGGCCAATGGCCGGTAGACGCTGGTCAGGCGCTGTGTTTTCCGGATCTGCTGCGGCGGCGCGGTGACTGACGTGGTGCGCTGACCACAAACGGCCCTCGCAGTCGTGCTCGGCGTGACGCCTCGAGACAAATGACGTCACCTGTGCGGAAGGCAGCGGCTCGGGGATCGCGGCCTTCCCACCCAGTTAAACCGCGTCGCGTGACTCCGCGAAGGCGGCGTTGCCGTTGTCCATCGAGGCGACCGACACTGGTACCTGACCCGGTCTGTTCGCCCCTGCAGACCGGCTGCCCGTAACGGCCCCAAGGTTCCGGACTCGACGCTGGCGCAGGGGTACGCCGGTGAGTGGTCCCGCCCCCCGGCTGCGGAGCGCCGGCCGGGCCGGGCTGCGGAACGCCGGCCGGCTGGGGCTGCGGCGCGCCGGTCGACCGGGGCTGCGGAGCGCCGGTCGGCCCGGACCGCGGCGCACCGACCGGCCCGGGCTGCGGCGTGCCGGCCGGCCTGGGTAGCGCCGAACTCGGCCGGCGGGACCGTCCGGGGACGCTGGCCGGCGCGAGTAGAAGCGGGGTGAGGGTGGGGTTGGACTGGGCGGCGATGGATGGCTCCTGGCACAGTGCCAAGGCAGGTCCTGTCCAGGCTAGACGAATCCTTTGGGCGCATTGTAGCGCTAGCTGCCTCCGCCCACTTCAGCCAGCTTGTGGTTGTGTGTTGAGAGGACGGCGGGTGTATTTGGCATGAAGACCAGCAAATGTATGAAACATCACTGATGGGGAATTGAAGTGTTGGTGAATTTGTCATCCGGGGCAATTTCGTGTCGTCATTCGCATTTCTGTTTCATCAGTCCCCCAAGGTCATGTGATGATGCATGCTGATGATGTGTTACAGGCATTGACGGAGTCCCGTTTGTGATAAACCCCAAGCTGAACAAGTCAAAGGAGCTTAAACACTTCACGTTAACGAACGCCAGCTCCATGACCGTGGAAGACCTGGAAAAACTGGTCGGTGCTGTCGAATATTCACTATTTGTATGCTCTCAATCAATGACATTGGTGCCGCTGTGCCATTATGGCACAGCTCTACTAATTTGTTTGCTGCGATTGATGTACGTCAGCGGTTACGAGAAAAGCCATCTAGTGAACAGCTATTGCGACATGCATCATTTGTTATATTGAACGCTTGCTTTTTGGGAAAATCTCACATTGTTAAGCATTCAGTGGAAGTCATTTGCGACAGCGAGGTGCTGTCCCTCACAACCAGCAAGAGCAAACAAATGCATGCGTTGGTGAGTAAAAACATAATCGTGCAACATTTCACCCAAACCCTTGCGCATGCTGTCATTTGGTCAATTTACAGCACCAGAAGCAATAGTGTTTGATGTCGCTTTCCCCAACCAGCGCGTGTTTTACGCTCTGCGCGCCAACTGATCAGGTGGCCACGTTGGTCGCCCTATCCAACGCTGCGTCACCTGTGGCGTGGGGCGTCGCCCTGACGCTGCCGGGGTGGAGTGTAGCGTTACCCCGCGCGGGGATCGCTCCCAGACGGGCACACGCCGCTGTGAGCCGGCCCGGCTCGTCACCGCTCGCCGGAGCGATGGCCCCGCTCACGGGCTCCTTGTCGCCAACAGTTGCTCCAGTGGCAGTGTGTGTCTGGTGCCATTCGTTAGTGCTGACATGGCCGTACAGATTCGTTGCCTGTGCACTCACGTGGATGCGGGTTGATTGGTGGCGTATTTAGGATACGTGTTAGCTGCTGCATTATGCCGAGTGTCGGCCTTGACCAGCGTCACGATACGGCGTCACGTACGGGGGGGCGTCACGCGCGCGGGGCCCGCCAGCGCTCGATGGCCGGAATGCGGGCCGACCCGACCGATCCGCACGCCCTCGGCGACAAATGGCCGAGTCCGTCTGCAGCAGGCGCCGCCCCCGCCACGGCCGGATGGACTGCGGGCCGCATGCAGGCGTCAGAGCCGGAGCTGGCCGGAGGCCGCGCCCGCCGCTGGGCGAGGTCCCCGTGCGAGTGGAGCGGGTGGCGCTGTGCTGGACCGCGCCGCGGCCAGCTAACGCAGCACGAGAACCGTGCTCCGTTTGGCTTGTGCGCTGCGGCTGTTCCGGCGCCGTGTGCCGCTATCGTGGCGCAGGTAGCCTAACGCAGCCCTGCCATTTGCAGACGGACTACGACTTCCGGACCGAGTACGCCACGCTGCAGCAGGCGACCACCCCCTGACCGGCGTCCGGCGCTGCCGCGTGACGGCCTCACGTGCGCGGACGGGTCCTCGGAGGCTGCGTGTGCTCCCCACTACGGTCACGAAGCCGCGATGGATTGGCGTGCTTCGGGGCACGGAACACGCTGTCATGATGGCTGGAGGGGCTCTCGGAGTCAGACATGCCCCGCCATGTGTTCAGCGACCAGTGCCAGAGGCGAGCACCTGGAGATGGGTCTTCATGTGCTTCTTGTGTTCCGGATCGTAGTCCCAAAACGCAGGCTTGTGTTGTCCTGTGTATTGTTTCTCGCCTTGCCGCCTCGCGTGATACGTGCATGGATGCATGGCCGCTGGACGAGAAGTGGGGCGAATTGGCATGTTGTTTATAACATAGGCTCGCATCTTTGGCACAGATGTCGACATAACACATATTCGGGCGCGATACAGTCATCCTCACAAAAGCCGTGGTTCATGACACTTATCCGCGTGTGAAGCTCTATCGGTGTTTTAATGTTGTGTAAATGCCTCAATCGTGTATTTTGTTCAAGAGGTACTATGGAGGAATGCCATCGATAATGGAATTCAATGGATCTTAAAGAGTGATGTAGAAAACCGTCGAAGATGTGATTGGAAAAGCAATCTGTGAAAACAGCACGCCTGTAAAGAGTTAGGAATGTCCAAATGACATATCGTGCCCCTCAATAAACTCGCGTGGCGACCACTTGTTAGCCGACGTCGGCGGCATAAAACACACGACCAAACGGCGACTGCGATGACGCAGGGCACGTGTACGTTCCGGAGGCGCCGGAAGCAGCCTGTGGCCGCGGCCTCAAGGGCATGTTCCGCAGAATCTGCAGAACCCTGCCACCGGTCCCCGCCTCCCCTTCCCCTCCCCGATCACAGCGGCGCGGAAGACCCGCGCCCAGCAGGCGACACAACCCGGGGCGCGTCTCACACGGCCAGCTCGCACCGTTCCGGCCAGGCCGCCGCGGGTGGCCGGCCACACACTGGACTAGACTGGGACGTCGCGAGGCCCACACCTGCACTGGACTTGGCCGCCGGCGGCTCACGTCTGCACTGGACTGGGCCGCCGGCGGCTCGCATCTTCACTAGACTGGGCCGCCGGCGGCTCACGTCTGCACTGGACTGGGCCGCCGGCGGCTCACGCCTGCACTGGACTGGGCCGCCGGCGGCTGGCCAACGGCGGCACGCCTGCCGCCCGCATCTTCACCAGACTAGGCCGGCGACAGCGCGCACCACCGACTATCTCCTGCTGATGACTACCGGCTGGAAGGCGGCGGCAGCGCGGCCGCCTGGGCTCAGTGATGTACTGCCGTCCCGGGCCACGAACAGCTGCAGGCCGGTGGCTGTGGACGTACGCGCGCTGTCAGCCCCAGCCGCGGGGCGCAGACACGGGCAGGAGGGGCGGACGACGTGCCGCCGATGTGTTGGGAGACGTAACGTGCACATGCTGACAAACTCACCAAGAAAAAGAAAGCCGAGCAACGCGACAAATGCTACATTTTTATGCATGGACATATATCATGCCCCGCACTTTCGCCAATCAGTAAGAGTATGGGGTGTCATTCAAGATTGCCGTGAGTCCCAGCTTTTCTTGGATGTGACTTTTAAGTTCGTTAGTCTGAGGCAGCGTCCCTACTTGTGGCTGGGAATCAGTTAACACACTCACAGTACGTGTTCGTGTTTTAGGCTGCGCGCTGTCCGTATTGAGTTCGGTGCTCTAGGGGTAAGGACGTAGCCAAACAGGTAAACGAAAGAGCAGGTGCTGCCCATCCCCCTCTTTCGGTCGATGGGCCGAATGAGCCTTTGGGCCGAACGGGCGTCCACTGTCCGAAGGGCGTCTAAAAAATATGGACAATTATTTTGAGAAATTGAGACGCAGCAGCCATGAATGCGCTTTTACAATGTTTCCAGAGGTGTCTGGAGCTCCTAGATCGACCACAAGAGTTTTGCTAGCATGCGGAGGACCCCTGCGTAAAGCGAGCAGGCTAAATGTGATAGGAAAAGTGATTCTGGGGGATTTCAGAAAGCTTTGGAGAGCCTAAGGTTGTGGGGTTCCTCCAGCCGACTTTCGTCCATCTTTCGGAGAGACCCTCATCACGTCTCCGTCCGGAAAACACGTCCTCGGCGCGGTCCGCGTCGAGGTCGGGGCATGTTGGTCCGTCTTGGGATCTATGCTCTGTGGTCTGGTCCGGTCGAGGTTGACGTTCTGCGGTGCGGTCCGTGTTGCGGACGTTCGGTGGCCACTCACCCTCGGTGTGGTCCGTGTTCAGGTCTGTGTTCTGCAGCAGGTCGTTGATGACGTCCTCGGGGTCGACCCGCGTGGCGTCGAACCGCGAGCTGGCGGGCACCTCCTTCTTGCGCCGCTCGCTGGTCGGCGGCCGCTCCATTGAGCTGTAGTCGGAGAAGGCCGAGCCGCTGCTGGCCGTCCTGCAGGCCGGCACGGAGACCTCCGTCAGCGACAGCAGCGCCGGCGGCCAACAGTGGCCCAACCGGGGATACCGGTCAACAACCCACATCGCTGGGAAAGCCATTTCCGAGCCATAGGGCCCCGCACATCTTGATATCGATACTTGATCGATGCTGTTAATAACAAGAGAAGACTAATATTCTCCTACGCGCCTGGGACCGCCTCGTGGCGTGAGGTCACCCGACGGGCCTCAGCGGGGCCCATCGGGAAGGTCAGCGCCGGCCCGGCCGGGAGGGAGCTGGGAGACGTCAGAGGAGACGGAGGCGCTGCTGACGGGACACCGGGCCCGCCGTTCACACGGCTCAACCGACCCGGGAGAGGGAGGGGGGGGGGGGGGGCGAGCCGGGCTCGCTCCCGACGCGTCAGCGTATCTCGGGCGGTGGCGGGGAGTGAGCGCCTCTCTTGGGTAGAGTGGTGAATAGCACGCGGGCAGCCCAGGGTGTGGAGTACTCTGAGTGGCGAAACGATCGGGCGGGATATCGTATGAGGATGACGTTATAGACCAGCGCGCTTTGACATGGCCAAATGTCAGACCATGACCTTTTGTCCCATACGCCCCAATACGGATGAGTCGACTGGCTCGAATGGAGGGCAGGTCGAGCAAAAACGGCTGGGAAACCATGTCCCGCCAAGCGCGGGACCCTGACTACGCCCACATCACACTTGGATCTCATTACTTACCTACTGCGCTCACACAAAGCACCTGACACCGAGCTACGTAAGCCAATACTCCTCACAACATTCCAAAGAGTGTGCCGGGTCTGGCCCGCGCCTAAGGTGGGCCAGCTGCTCCCGGCGGTGCCACGCGTGCGTCCTCCGATGGGTCCCCGTGGCCCCGCAGACGAGATGGGGCCCCTGTGGTGCCGTGCCGGGACAGGTCCATGTGGCGTCGTGCATGCGTGGGCCCGTGTGCTGCCATGGCTGGCATGGGTCCATTCCACACAGTGACAAATCTGATGACGTGAATCCGTACGGTGCGATCCACACCCCAGGTGGGTCCTTTTCGCGTGCAACAGGTATATGTGGTGCCGTACCTGGTACGGGTCCGTACAGTGCCGTAGCCCAGGTGGGTCCATACTCCCGTACCTGGTACGGGTCCGTATAGTGCCGTAGCCCAGGTGGGTCCATACTCCCGTACCTGGTACGGGTCCGTATAGTGCCGTAGCCCAGGTGGGTCCATACTCCCGTACTAGCCCAGGTGGGTCCATACTCCCGTACCTGGTACGGGTCCGTATAGTGCCGTAGCCCAGGTGGGTCCATACTCCCGTACTAGCCCAGGTGGGTCCATACTCCCGTACCTGAAGCCGGGCGTCCCTGCGGTGCCTCGCCCAGGTCGAGTCCCTGTATGTCTGTGCCCCGTACTCTGTGGCGGTTCCCCGTGTGTGGCGCACCTGCGCCGGACTCCCGCGGGTCCGTGTGTGTCCCCGCGTGCGCCGCCCCTGGGGCGGGCTCCCGTAGGTCCGTGCGTGTCCCCGTGTGCGCCGCCCCTGGGGCGGGCTCCCATAGGTCCGTGCGTGTCCCCGTGTGCGCCGCCCCTGAGGCAGGCTCCCGCGGGTCCGTGCGGGTCCCCGTGTGCGCCGCCCCTGAGGCAGGCTCCCGCGGGTCCGTGCGGGTCCCCGTGTGCGCCGCACCTCTGACGGGCTCCCGTAGGTCCGTGCGTGTCCCCGTGTGCGCCGCCCCTGGGGCGGGCTCCCGCAGGTCCGTGCGTGTCCCCGTGTGCGCCGCACCTGGGGCGGGCTCCCATAGGTCCGTGCGTGCCCCCGTGTGCGCCGCACCTGGGGCGGGCTCCCGTAGGTCCGTGCGTGTCCCCGCGTGCGCCGCCCCTGGGGCGGGCTCCCGCGGGTCTGTGCGTGTCCTCGCGTGCGCCGCACCTGAGGTGCCCCAGCTCGGAGCTGCTGCTCTGTCGGCTGTGGGACGGCTGGGACGCCAGGCTGCCGTAGCCCGACTGGCTGCTGGAGTTGCGCGAGTGGCCGGGCGGCCCGGCCTCCCGCGAGCTTGACAAGCACTCCAGCTCCGACGCCGGACCATCGCCTGCGGCAGTCGGCATACCACGGTCACCACCTGACACCGACAAGCATTATAGCCCATGCGGCGGCAAAACGGTCACTTTGCCACCATTTAGTTCTCCAATAGTATGTGACAGCGAGCTATCTGTACGAGCGCGTTAAAGATCACGTCGACTCCTTTTGACCCTGCGCCCTTTCACACCCCATACAGTACTCTCGAAGCAAGACTACCGGTCCCAGTCGTCTGCTTCCCAGCCAACGTAGACAGGTGACATCGCCGGGGGCTCGGTGTCACCTGTGTGTCGATGACTCAGGCCGGCGGGCACAAGCAGGCGCGCTCGCGCCGCTTGTCGGGCGAGGGCAGGGCGGCCGACGGGCTCAGGGGCCAGTCGAGGTCATAAGAACGGCTGCGACGCTAGGTTTTGTCACAGCAGGAACCACCGGGTTTTGTCCAAGAGCACCACGTTCTAATGACGACGGGGTGAGAATTGTACGCTTTACAACCACAAAGCCGACAAAAACGGACTTTTCACAACTCTACCGCACCGGGAAATCTGTATTGTGCTTGGGTTGTTGTGCTTACTGACCGAGGGAAGCTTTACGAAAGATCGTTATACTAGCGCACACTAAGGCAGTAGGCTAAAGGCACACGCACAAAGTGCACGATAAAACTTGATACCGTTCTGACGTCTCGGTCGGTCGCCACTGCAGTTTTCATCATTTCACGACAACCTGTTAACACCCGGCGCGAGCGTCGGCTCCGGGCATTACCAGACCGGCTTACAAACCCCATGGTCCACCAAGCGGTCATCGCGGCTCCGCTTATTACCAGCGTCGCCCGCTTCGTTGGGCGGCTTTCGAGCCGGTTTTCATGGGATAGTTGCCTGGACCGGTCGCGCACCTGGCGACGCTCGGACACTGGTCCCAACAGGGACCGCGGACCCGCTCACCGCACCCCGGCCGCGCGCCGCCAGGAAACAGGTTCGACGAACGGCAAAACCCGCTCCCAGGGTCAGATCCCGGAATCCACATCATACGGGGACCGAGCCAAGCAAAATATGCACCCCCTGTTGGAGCGGAAGATAATAACCAAAAGTTAGGAGCTGGTCTAGTTTTTCCAGTTATCGGCCCAAACGACCGACACGCTGGTAAAAGGGACCGCTCCCATAAAAAACGACGAGTTCACAGGAGGTTGGCTGGCCCTGCGCAAACCACACAAAGGTGATGTCTGAGTCCAGAAATCCAGCCTGGCCGGGGCACGGTTCTGGGAAGGTGCTGGCCATGGGACGCCCATCCTACGCGGCCATACACCGGCTAACGGGAGATGCCAGCGGACTCTGCTGACCCCTGGCGACGATGTCAGTGACGTCGCTGACCTCTGGCCGCGGGGTCAGGGTTCAGCGGCGTGATCGGGGGACGTGTTGATCTCCGGTCGTAAGGCCAGGGGATCTACTGACCAATAGCTTTGGCAGGAGGGTTGGAACGCTGCTGACCTCTGGCAGCAGGCCAGGGGATCTGCTGACTCCTGACGACGAGTTCGAGGGAACAGCTGACTTCCAGTGTTGGCCGGGGGACCCTACTGACCCGTGGCGCCGGGCTCAGGGACACTACTGACCTCGGGCGGCGGTCGGGTCGGTGGGTGTGACTCGGCTTGACTCCCCCGGTGTCGACGCCTCGGCCATCAGGTCGCCGCCATCACACGGGAGGTGCGCGGACCGGGGCGTGGGCCTGCCGACAAACATCACACGTGCTGGCACCTGCACACAAATGAAAGCTCACAGCCCAACGACGATGTGATGTAACATGCAACCCGCACCTCGGTTAGACAGGCATACACGAGATGTCGGACAGCTGAACTGCGACGTAACGGCAGGTAGCCTGACAAAAACACACCTGGTGTCAGACAGGCGGGAACTTCAAATGTCAGACAGCCAGACACGGCTGTCACACAGCCCTTCACGGCAGACCCGAGACAGCTGAACACGCCGGCCTGGGAGCCGCGGACAGACACGCCGGGCGTCAGACAAACACACCGGCCGGCCGAGCCGGACTTCCCGGCACCGTCACACGGCTGTGGGGGCGGGCCGGCGCCGGCCGCCGCCTCGGAGAGTCCCGTCCCACCCCTCCTGGCATCGGCCGCCGCCTCGGAGCGTCCCGCCCCGCCCCTCCCGGCATCGGCCGCCGCCTCGGAGCGTCCCGCCCCGCCCCGTCCGGCATCGGCCGCCGCCTCGGAGCGTCCCGTCCCGCCCCTCCCTGCATCGGCCGCCGCCTCGGAGCGTCCCGTCGCGCCCGGCCCGGCGCCGGCCGCCGCCTCGGAGCGTCCCGCCCCGCCCCGCCCGGCATCGGCCGCCGCCTCGGAGCGTCCCGCCCGCCCCGCCCGGCATCGGCCGCCGCCTCGGAGCGTCCCGCCCGCCCCGCCCGGCATCGGCCGCCGCCTCGGAGCGTCCCGTCCCGCCCCTCCCTGCATCGGCCGCCGCCTCGGAGCGTCCCGCCCCGCCCGGCCCGGCGCCGGCCGCCGCCTCGGAGCGTCCCGCCCCGCCCCGCCCGGCATCGGCCGCCGCCTCGGAGCGCCCCGCCCGCCCCGCCCGGCATCGGCCGCCGCCTCGGAGCGCCCCGCCCCGCTCCGCCCCGTCTGGCATCGGCGCCGCTGCAACACAGTGGGCCGCACACACGCGTGTTGACACTGCAGCCCCACGGCCCCGGCGGGAGGCGGGCTCGGAGCCGCCCGCAGCTGCAGCTCGTCGCCGGAGCGGGCCGCGTCACGGCGCAGACACCGCCGCTCGCGGACCGAGTAGCAAGAAACCGTTCGCCGGGGGGGGGGGGGGGGGGGGGCACGAGAAAACCGGCATTGCCCGTACCGTTAGAAGGCCGCCCAAATGTGTCGTTTGTTTCGCCGCGCACGCTGTCCAGACAAGCAAATGTGGACAGCCGGCTCCGAAAACAAAGCACGCAACACAATAGAAAATGTAGTATGACATGACACTTCCAAGCCGTGCCATATTTTTTGTTTTGGACGATACAGATAGAAGTTTGGCTCGGACAGAACGGCTACTATGAGTCAGAAGTTACTGGCCAAATGATGCGCCAATAACTCGCGCGCAACTCAGCAAGGCAGACCACCGACAACTCGCAACGCCCAAACGCCAGGAGATCAAGGTCTTTCTCGCTACATTACAATGTCAGGTGAGCAAAAGCCTCACGTTTCCACGCAGCACAACGCAAAGCATTTTTCGGTGGGCCCAGTAATTTACAAAACAAGAATCTAATTACTCCAGCCCGTCACAACTTTCATTTGATTCCGTCATCAGTTAATACCGCTGACGGCGCGCTAGCGCGTTGAAGAGCAAAAGCGTCCATGCCAACCTTTCAGTGGCCCAGATATCTGCTCATAGAGATGACCGACAGTCAGAAGCAACAACCGCCGCCTGTCTCTTCCGGCCGCGCCGCACTGGCAGACCGGGGCGGCTGCTCCGGGGTGGGCTCCCCCGCCCCCTGACTGGCCCGCCAAACGGCGGCGGGCTTCCAAATAGGCCATCCAGGGGGGAAGCCACGCACTGAGCGCCGGCCTGGCCCCCGTCCAGCCCCGGCCGGCCTGCCAAGAGGGCATGTCGGAGGCGAGACGGCGGTCGTCCACCACCGCGCCCCGCTGCCGGGAGCTGCTGACTTGACGCGGCGCCGGCGCCAGGGCCAAGGACGCCGGCTTGGCAGGGGTGGTGAAGATCAGACCCATTTCTACTGCAGGCTCGCGCACGCAAATAACGAACGGTTCGACCGTGGGGAGACCGCGCGGCGCGACGCAGAGAGGAGATGTGACGTACAGAGGTGTCATCAACGCTCATATAATTAGTTTGAAATGAGCGAGCATAGATAAATTTCATACGGCATGAGTCCGCACTGTTAAAAGAGTCGGCGATGCACAGAACAGCGCATCAGAGAGTCACGCGAGCTGGCCAGATTGACCCGACAGTCGACCAGCACAGATGGGGATTTCCAAGACCTCGGCCATTATTTCTACAATGCAGGAAAAATACCACAGAAGCCATCGTCCAAGTACCCTATAAAAATCCAGATATCTGTCTTAACTGCAGGATCTTAAAACAGAACACGTTATCAAGGACGTCCCCGTAGCACGTAACAAGCACAACTCAGGTCTGCGCACGCGAGGTGGCTCGGTGACCTCCCCATGTCCTTGGCGAACGGACCGGGGCAAACGCCGCCAGCAAACTACCTACAGATTGCATCAGTGGTTGGAAATTCGCTGGAGCTGGCCATCCCGAGTAAGACAGGGATCCCGCATTCTGGTTGTCATGGTGACGAAAAACCCGGCCGGTGCAGCAGACCCGAGGGGGGGGGGGGGGCTGGTCAAGGATCATGCAATTTCTTCGATATTAGATTGCGCTACTCTCTGAACACAGTGAAGCACACAGAGACACAAACAAACAGCGAGGTCTGCCATCGTGCAAACCTCTGATGTAATACCCGATTTAATACCCGTGATTCTTATTGTCACGTTAGCGTAAACGCCTGATAGCCAAACAAAAGAGACAACCTGGCAAAATAGGCAAATTCACAAGCGTGGCATTTTCACGGTAAATTTAAAGACCCTTTTTACCGTACCATTTTTACATCAGAACCATTCATTTTACGAACGCCACTGTCAACAGTTAAGTCATGGGTCAGCCAAACAGCTCCGCCCAGCTTATGGACGGCACGAACGCGGCCGACATGATGCCGAGCTCAGCTAACCCGTCTTACCGAACGAGCGCAGCGCCGCCTTGCAGCCTGCATCTGAAAATAGTCTGTCTGAAGGGCATCGGCAGATCGCGCGGTTAAAAACGGCCGGCGGCGTTGCCAGCCGCCTCCTGTAGCCGAGACGTGTCTCGCTCGCCTGGTCCCCGGCGCGTCGAAAAGGCTGCGATCGGGCACCCAAGCTGGGTGGGTGGAGGGCGTGGCAAGTCACGGCGGCGCCGGGGACCCGCTGCCGTCGTCGAGTCGGGCTCGTCTGCCGGACTGGCGCCCGGCGCAGGGCAGACGCCGCCGGTGACGTGGCCGCAGGTCCCACTGCCGGCCGTGGACCCGGCTGCTGGCCGCGTGTCACATGGTGCCAGCGTACCGGCCGGATCGGGTGTGTGTGACGGGCCGCCACACGGGGCAGGTGCGGTTACCCGCCACGCGGTGGGAATGGGAACGCGCCGCTCCTCGATCCGGAGTCTGCGGCCGCGCTCCGGCAGCGGTCGCCCCGACTGCCACTGCCACCGACACTCCGCGGCTGCCACTCCGGCAGCGGTCACTCCGACTGCCACTGCCGCCGACACTCCGCGGCTGCCACTCCGGCAGTGGTCACCCCGACTGCCACTGCCACCGACACTCCGCGGCTGCCACTCCGAGATCCATCCCAGAGACGGCAACGTTTCACTCGGAGATGGCCCCAGATGCCGGCCTCCCCGCACCCGCATCCCATCCCACCCGGCGCCAACTCCGCACCGGCCGCGGCGTACTCACGTGCGGAAGCAGGGGTCGCCGCTGAGCAGGGTGGTGGACAGCACCACCTTGAGCGTGGAGTTGTCCTGGCGGTGGCGCAGGTCGTAGCCCTGCAGCAGGTAGCGCCGGCACTGGCCCACGCCGCCGGCGAACTCGGCCAGCTCGATGTCGGCGAAGCCCAGCTTCTGGTACGAGCGGCCGCCCTTGGCCTCCTGCGACGCGGGGACGACGGCGTCAGGCGGCGACGGACCGAGGGCGGCTCGCGGCGGCGCGACCGACGCGCACGGTGGCGTTACAGGCCAGTGGAAACAGCGCGTGGCCGAAGCGGTGTGACGGTCTGGACTGCTGCTGGGACACGTGGCAGTGGTGATGCAGTGGTCACTTCTGTGCCACGGGTGCCGGAAAACATAGCGTGCTGGAAACACATCTGCAGCTGCTTGGAACTTATGGTTGCGGAGTGTGCTGAGGTCGTATAAAGCCTGGTGGAAACCCGCCGGGTGCTGACAAATGTGTTATGACAGCGGCGATGCGCCTCAGCAGTCCCCCCCCCCCCGCCCTCCCTACCCGCTTCCCGTTCAGCTGGCCAGAGAAAGGGCAGGAGAATACATCCGTATATACTACCTCTCTACACGCAGCGCTAACTGGGCCATGCACCTTTTAAAAAAATCAAAAAAATGACATCAAATAACATTGCAAAATTACGTGGTCGCTCGCACAATCTTGCCATAGAAGGTGCACCAGCTCGCTACCCTACAAAGCCAACACGTTTGGCTGAGCCGGCAAGTCGTCGCCATCGCACCATTCAAATCGTGCAGTCAGGATACTGACCAAAGCATTGCCAGGCGCCGCCATCACTCATGGTCCCCACCTTGCATCGAGCATTGCAAGCCACTGCCATTATTCGCACTGCCCACGGCTGCCGTGCCGCAGTCCTTAACAAACACACCAGCTCGTTATTCCCCATCCCCATCGGCCACAGCTGCCAGCCATACATACGGGAGTCGACCCACGTCAAAGAAAGGCTGTGCACGGAGACCGCTGTGAAGGGTTAGAAGAAAAGGCACGCATCTTTGTTTAAAGTAAAGAACTATGCCTAAACACAGCACTGAAAATACCGGAAAGGAAAATGTGTTTTCATGAAAACCCGCGCTGAGGGCTACCCAACAAACACAAGCCGTAATAAACTACTTACAATATATCAATATAACAAAATTTTATTTTCGCACGCACAGACAACGAATACATTCGAGAGAACGGCTTACAACCGCGTTGATTCAAGGACTTGACCACTAAGCAATCTAATATGAGTTGAACAGATGGGAAGAGCGGGCCTCTCCGGACTCATTTGATATCTTGGTTGTAAGTTTGTGCATCCTGCTGCGACGATTCTGTAAAGTTTTGGCCTCAGCACACTTGGGGCTAGGGATGTTAGCGGTACTTTCCGATGTGGCAGCGCGCATGGCCATAGTCGCAGCGGCGTCCGCTGAACGAAACGTTACCAAATCAGCAATGTTACCGTTCTTTTGCATGTGGAAAGATAGCGGTACTTTCCAATACGGCGTACTTAAGTCCATGGTTGGGGCGTAAGCTGAACAGAATTACCAAAGCGGCAATATTTCCGTTATCCTGCATCAGTTGGGGCTAAAGATACTTTTCAGAATCCGAAGCTCCACGTTCTAGGAAAGAATGAATTCGGAGAACTGCTGCCAGGCACAGTCCCTTTAACAACGACCAAACACACAAGTGCCAGCGGCACCGAATTATCCTTTGTATAATTATCCGTATCATTCGTTTATGAACAGTGGTGCCAATGACAGGACATCAGCACGTCACATCGGGAAAACAAAATTAACGCGACGTTTTACCCACCAGTATGAAAAAGATTTGTTGATACCAAGCTGATATGAGTTTGGTCTATTACTTACCTTGCCTGAGCTCCCTATATGCCAGTCTCATTATTTCGGCCAACAATTCCTACAGCGCACCAACGGGCCCAGATACTGCACCTAGCGCAGGTACTATGCTATCTATGCACCGAAAAGGAAGACCAAGGTATGCCCCCACTGTCTACAGACGGGTGGCCGATAGCATCTTGGCGCCTGCCCAGGGCTGGACATGAGCTGCAATGGTAAACGTCAGCAACACAGTGCTGCACAGCCGCCCGGGCAATCACAGGAAAAACTATCACTTTCACTTGGTTCGCGTGCCAACTGAAAGCATGCATTGCTGGCTGCCTAATCGTCCAAAGTCATGATAACGGCCACCATTGTTATATTGGCATCACGACGGTGGTATCGCGAGTTGCTTCACTACGGTGATGGTAGAAACATTGCCTTGTAACGGACCACCTAAAACACACAGACAATGCAAAACGGTCGCGAAGGAGAACACGGAGAGAACTACGCATCGGAATCAACTGATCACGCAGATCTGCTGTTGAAGAGGTGGACCAATATTCATCATGCACCATTAATCGAACCAGAAGGCTTTTAGTTTTAGGCACGCTTCTCAAACGCCCGAATGCACGCAAGGCCACTAATTGCATGCAGCCAATGCCAAGAAAGGAAACCACACATCAGCCACGGGTGGACAAACACGGTCACGTGGTCGATAACAAATTAGTGACACGACTGCCACTAATATCCCCTTTTAGAGGAGAAATGTTGCAAACAAACTTTGCTACGTAAACTTGGTGTGGTCACAACCACACCTATCATAACGCAATGCAACGGGGAATAGGTGGCTGTTACTTGTTGTTAAGGGCACAGGTAGCGGTGCAGTTTGTTACAGGCAGCCTCCGACACAGCCCAATGTGCCACGCAACTGATCCGTCCTTAGTTCCAACGCAAGCGTTTCAGTGGTCGCGCATAGCACGGGAGAGACAAATGAGCGCAGATTCGCGAGACCTGCCACGCCCCCTGTCAGGACTACACGGAATCGGCACAATCTTCATCGACGTTTATCGGAAGTCGGCGGATTTTTCCACGCCCCCAGCCTGCCGAGACCTTATCCCAACGGCACGTATGGAAGGCAAGGTCATCTGATGCTGCCTATTCGGCTCGACATCCGGTACTGCCGCGAGAGCCAAGGACAGACGCGCTCCTAGGGCAAATGTAATATCCCGAGAGTAATTCGCGACATTGGCGAAGCGCGGGCCGTGGGATAACGCCGGGACATAACGCCCGGAAACGAACGCCGTCCTCGAGATCATCGCCTGGCCTAACGTAAGCCCAATCCCTGAACTCATCGCACGGCTAGGAGAGAACACGCCGTCCGAGACGCCCGCCACAAACGCAGCGCTGCGAGCGAAGCCACGCGCGTCGGCCGCGCGAGCACCGCGCGGCAGCGCGCTCGGCTCGGAACATCACAGCAGCACGCCGCACCCGCTCGAGCCGGTGACGCCGGTCCCAGGGCGTCCGACGCCCAGCTGGCGGCTCACAGCTCCCGGGAAGGCCGGGCAGCGCGCCCCGCAAACCGGTCTCTTCAGGAAAGGTCCGCCACGCATCACGACCTCCCCTCACGTCACGCACACCGCACAAGGGCAGCCGGTGTTGCCGCCGCTCTCACCCCCACTCACGCAACGGGGCAGACGAGCGAGTGACGTCACCGGCAGACGGGCCAGTGACGCCACCGGCAGAGATGAGTGACGTCACCGCACACGGACTGGGACCAAGCACCGACATGGGGAAATACACCGTTCTTCCCTGGGCTCGGGAGGAAGGGATGATTGGACTCGTCTGCCGGCGGCGTCGCGAGCGGTTGCGGTCAGTGTGGGGCTGGCCGGACCGGTCGGTCGGTCGGTCGGTGGACAGGGCGACACGGCCAGCGGGGCGGACCAGCCCCGTCCCGTCCCGTTCTGTCCAGGAGGCCCGCCGCGGCCGGACCGGTCTACCGGCCTCGGCCAGTCACCCGCCACGCCGCGCCGCTTCCGCCGCGAGCCGACGCGGCCGGCCGGCCGGCCCGCCGCTTACGGAAGGCCACTGGGCTGCGCCGATTGCTGCCAGGTTCGGAGAATTCCGAATCTAAATGATGCACTTCGCCATTTTTGTTTGACCTTTCGAATCCGCGCCATTCTTACCACGGAAACTGCATAGCTGGCAGCACTTGGAGGTGCACTAGCCGTGTATCTCCACTGCCGATCGCTAGTGCCTCTTCGTCCCGCTTCAAACAGCCGCAGCCGCCGACATAACGAATTCGCCCGAGCGGGACGACGCATGCTAATCGGCCCGACACCCGACCTTATCGCTGTCCTTCCGCCGCCGGCGCGGTGCAGACGTGCCGGACGGGGGGCAACAACCCTCTGCACGCGGGTGTCTGCAGCATGCGGAGGCCGGCCGGAGACGCCGGACCCCTGCGAGGCACGGGAACGGCGGAGGCCGGAGCTGACCGGCGCGGCCGCGTGCGTGGGTAAACGCACCTCATTCGTCGGCGGTGATCATAAGCGGACGTTCGGGACTCTCACTGGCCATCCGTGAGTCATCTGCTGCAGTTCATGCAACCCACTGAGCGACGTGACTTGGATGTATGAAAGTATGGGATCGTTGGCTCATGTAGCATGGCAGCTTAATACCTCCTGGTATATTAACCATAGTGCCGGAGTATTGACGCAATATGATGGCAATCGACTCCAGACAAACACCCGAAGTCATCATCAACCGCAGCGAGTATTCGAAATATGCTGTCCTGCGGTACGTGATAAGCACATAAAAACACGGTGTACACACATAGACCATCCATGTTCATGGATTTAGTCCACTCCTTACACTTTTTGCTTAATAACTTCGGCAGCTCGAAATGTTGTTCTAGGAACGCTTCTACCAAAGGCCTCCATGGAGAAAACTTATGCGTGGACCCTGAACTCGCCACCCAAGTGGTCCGAACTATGGCCGGAATGCCACGCAAAAAAAAATGATGTCATATAACGGAGACCGTAAAGCTATGCAACGGCTTTTATGAACTCCAGAGGATAAGTATACCAACAAGGTTAGAGCAAAACAACGAACAACATTCGACGTGCCGTAAAGAAAACAATGTCTTTTTCTGACGCCCAGTGACAGCCCATGCGATAAGGATAAACCTGTTCCGTTCGTTTACGTTCGTGCTTGAGCCACCCCAAAAAGAAATCGAACGGTCACTTCATCAGCATGCAACACGTGTGAGCCCGGATAGGCCACACCCCAGCCGGACACGGCTCGCCCAGACCGGCCGGCTGACGACGTCAGATCGCCACCTGCATCTCCGGTGAGCCGCTCAGCTGCGGTGGACGAGGCGCCGCGCGGCGCGGTCCGTCGCCTCGCCGGCGGCGGCGGCGGCGGGCGGCGGGCGGCGGCCGTGGCAAGGCCGCGGCGCCGCGGCGCCGCCGGCACCGTTAGAGGCGCGCCCGCCTCCCGCCGAGACGACACGCGCCGTTCGCATTCCCACGGGCGCGGTCGGCACGCGGCGGACGGCCGGCGCCGATTACCGGGCCGCCGACGACAATGCGACTCTCGACCGCAGCCGGCGGTGCCGTCCGGCCGGCGCGCTCCGTCCGCTGTGCCGGGACGCGGCGGGCGGCGTCGACAGCTGACCGGAGCGGCCGCCGTCCCGTGTCCTCGCTCGGCGTCCGGCCCCGCGGCGCCTGGCACCCGGGGCCGGCCGGGCGGCCCGCGTCGCCGCTCGATGCGGCCGCCACATCTGGTCGGCCCTCCCGCCAGGCGGAGCTGCGCGTGCCGGCCGACACTGAAGCCCGGTGTAGCGCGCGCACCGGACGTACCAGAACCTAACGCGCGTCGGGAGTGGGGGGGGGGGGGGGAGGGCAGTCTCGAATCGTGGAACGCACCGTCGCTGGTTTACAGGAGAGTCCTTACACTGGCTGGCCGAGAGACTGACCGCGCCAAGTTCCCCGCAGTACAGCGCGTCCCTGTGCTTGCGTCGCGTACCTGCGCTAACAATGCTGACATCGGCAGCTCGCCCGAACCCAGCGCGCACGACCCGCTCTATCGCCGGATTTCCGCGTCGTCCGATCTCCAGGCCGAGCGGCCGGTTGCGCTTCCTGCCCCGCCGTGGGCAGGCTGCACGGCTGGGTCAGCGCCATCCGTCCGAGCGCAACAGGGCGCTGCAGCCAATCCGAGCGCGACAAGGCGCTGCAGCCAGTCCGAGCGCGACAGGGCGCTGCAGCCAGTCCGAGCGCGACAAGGCGCTGCAGCCAGTCCGAGCGCGACAAGGCGCTGCAGCCAGTCCGAGCGCCACAAGGCGCTGCAGCCAGTCCGAGCGTGCCACGACGCTTGAGGCGGGCGGGGTGCCGGCCGCCTCGGCCGCCGGCGGAGTAGGCCGTATCGCGAGAAATCGCGACACAGGCCGACCGCCGGCGCGGCGCCGGTCTGGCGGGCGGATAGCGCGCCTTCTGCGCCGGGCCGGGCCTTTTGTAGAGGGGCACCGGCTGTTGTAGCGACGCGGCGCCTTTTGTGGAGGCGAGATGCCTCCTGCACAGAGGCGGCCCCTGAGACGGCACCGCGCGGTACGCACTCGGCTGGCGCGGCCATCTGCCGTGACCGCGTCCCGACCGCGTCCCAATGCCGTGACCGCGTCCCGACGCCGCCGGCCGGCGGCGGCGGGCCCGGCCACGCTGGCAGACGGTCGGCCGGCCGGCGCGGCGGTGGCTGCTGTTCGCGCCGCTCGACCGACGGCGGATCGCAAAACCCTACCGGCACCGCTGCTGTGGGACTGCCCTGACTTGGGCACGGCACAGAGCCTCCCCCCCCCCTCTCCCCCCCCCCCCAGCCTCTACACAGCGGCTATCGACGACAGGCGGCACCTAGCGTCCTGCGCTGGGTGCCACCAATTCCGAACGTGCGTCTGCTGGCCATGCACTTGTCACGCGCGAAATTATAAACCTGTGATGAATATGATGAAACAGCCACAATGCAACTTTTAGGCGAAATGACGGCGATCCTGCCCATCGCGCAGGACGGTGTAAATTTAAATATAAACCCCAACGAAGCGCCGTAACCGAGGATCGGTCGGACTGCTAACGTAGACTGTCAGTCACTAAAGGTTGTCAGAATGACGAGCCGGCTGCTCTCTATAGCTGGCGGGCTGCAGTTCCAGCAGTCCCCGACTCAGTCCCTGCACACAAAAACACGCAGGTCGCCTCCATCATTTTGGAATGAAGTGCTATTTCAGCGTAGTCCTCGTGAGAAGGCCTAGTTTTGGTGTGGGTTTGGCCAGACAAGGCTTCCCCGCCCTCACCCACAGGCAAACAAGCTATAACAGTGCGTTGCAATGCATATCCAAGTCACCGGACTAGCCAAGCTGAAACCCTGACTCACGACGACCACCAGCAGCCTAGCCACACGCCCTCCGGGTCGGTGCTCTGTACTCGTCCCCCCCCCCCCCTGCCCTCCCGCTCCAGCGGCCCAGCCGGAGGTTGGCGTGACGTGACTGCCGGCGGGGTCCGGATTTCCACGAGCCCGGCAGCGGCCAGCCCAGGTGGCGGACTCCCGCCCGGTGACGTCATCCCCCACCTGACGTGGCATGTGACGTCACACCGTGGTGTAATCGGGGAGCGGCACGGCCCGCCCGCACGGCGATCGACCCGGCCTCCCGTCCGAGAGAGGAGGCTCACCGGGGCCCACGTCAGTCGGATAGCGTTCCTACACTTATAGTTGCCAACGGCATCTGAAAAATATATCGAGGTGCTCTTCGCAGCGCTACTGAGAAACCATGTGGCAGAACGTAGCGGAAAAGCATTTTCATTCCGACAGCTGTTCAGCACGCCAATGTAAACGGCTGGCTGTCTGGCGGAGGGCTGACGAAGAACTTAATGACATTTACCGAACATGGGCGTACGCGCAACCACAGTCATGTTACTTTTATTGAAAATCCAATCGCACGAGCCTAATCCAAGAGGTGCCCAAAGGACGCCACGCCAGTTGTCAGTCGTTTTACCTCTGGTATTATGAACAATCTCGCATGACGCTTCATTGCTAAGAGATATCCTTCAAGCCAGCTTGAGGCCGGAAATCTCGAACAATTAGCCCATTCAAGCCGCAATCACAAACTGTTTGTCAGCCCGGAGCACGGACGTTTGCTCAGGCTCAGTTATCACTTCAGTTCTATTTGCCGTCTTCCGCGGCAGTAAACACACCATATCTATTCCGCCCACATCGATGACGTCACATCGGCTACAAACGTTATCGATTCATTGGGTCAGACAGTGTTCAATTTGTTCCAATGTTTCTGACATGGCAGCTTCTGTTCGCGCTCCACCGACATATAAGATGAAATAACGTATGCACGCTCATGCATTTTAAGCCGCAAATTCGACTGGTCGTGACAGCCTTCAATGCTGTCGATTCCCAGATTGAACATGAATATCTGAATAACAAAAGCTTGCACAACGCTGTCGATTTAGCAATGAGATACGAACACATGCATCCAGAACCAACGGCTATCCCGACTTCTTGATCGGGAATACGAAACAGCCTGCACATAGATCCAGTGCAAAGCAGCGTCCATTGCGACAGTCCCGCACGATGCGGACACGCGGGACCGGGAGGCTGACCTCTCTGACGGACACTCGACAGAGGCAGGAGTCCAGCACGAGACTGACCTTCCTGACGGATACTCGACAGAGGCAGGAGTCCAGCACGAGACTGACCTTCCTGACGGACACTCGACAGAGGCAGGAGTCCAGCACGAGACTGACCTTCCTGACGGACACTCGACAGAGGCAGGCGTCCAGCACGAGACTGACCTTTCTGACGGACACTCGACAGAGGCAGGAGTCCAGCACGAGACTGACCTTCCTGACGGACACTCGACAGAGGCAGGAGTCCAGCACGAGACTGACCTTTCTGACGGACACTCAACAGAGGCAGGCATCCAGCACGAGACTGACCTTCCTAACGGACACTCGACAGAGGCAGGAGTCCAGCACGCCAGTGCTCGTCGGCGCCGTCATCTTGGCGCAGAACGACATCTTGGCGTTCCACTTCACCGTGTGATCACGCACCTCCTCCCTGAAATGGAGCCGTGGTGAGCGGTTAGCGGCGACGGTACGGTGAGAACGGGTACGGTGGCGAAGCGGTGTTGAGATGTGACGCTGGCCACCCAGGTAAGCAGACAGCGAGGAGACCCAAGGCGGCGCTGGGGACGTGTGATCGCCAACGGACGAGTTACCTCGTCATCCCGTGGTAGGGCCCCTGGGCTTTGGTTGCCTCACTGAATGCTCCACGCCCCAAGAACGGTGTGGCATACTCGCCACGCTATCTTCCACCATATCAATATCACATCTGCCCTTCCCTCCCGCCCACTGACCAGTTTACGGCCTCGCTTTACGGCTGCTCAGTTAGACCGGTTGGCAGCGAGCGTCCCACGCGGCTCAGTGACGTGGCGGTACTGGCAGCCGGCCCGAGCAGCGCGGCTCGGTGCGGCGCGCCGCTGCGTGGGTCGGACATCCGATCGACCCTCACCTCCCCACCCTCAACCAGTGCCGGTAGCGGGGCGCGCTGAAGGGTCCGGGCAGCGCGGCGCGCGTCGGCACGGCCCCATCGCGCCAGGCCGGATGGCGGGCGCCCACGCTGACGGGCGGCTGCTGACGGCGACAACAGATGCCGGACACAGCCGGCCGCCAGCAGCGGCGCACCGGCCGGCCGGCGACAGTGGACAGTCCCACTGACCGCCTGGTGTCAATCGGCGGTCCAACTGGTCGTGCCGCGTCGGCGGCAGCGGCGGCGGCGGCGGCGGCAGCGGACACCTGCCATCGTCCGGCCGCCGATCCCGGATCGCCAGGCGAGCTGACCTTGCGGTCGACGAAGGTCGGCCGGTCGAGGGACCCGCTCGCGTCACGCCGTTCAGCGGCCGCCGCCACGCCCGCCCCGACAAAACACGTCCGTCGGCCTCGTGCCCGCACTGACGAGCGCTCTCGCACACGGGCTGTCAGCTAGCGCCGGCCGCGCTGCATTCGCCGTGGCCGCGCACAGGCCGTGCCGGTCGACCAAGTTCGCCGGCAGAACCTGTCTCTGCAGCCCTACAGTAGCGCTGCACCGACCGCGATGCCGAGCTCACTCTGCGGACTGTCTCTGCAGCCCCACAGTAGCGCTGCACCGACCGCGATGCCGAGCTCACGGTTATCTGCGGACTGTCTCTGCAGCCCTACAGTAGCGTTGCATCGACCGCGATGCCGAGCTCACTCTGCGGACTGTCTCTGCAGCCCTACAGCAGCGCTGCATCGACCGCGATGCCGAGCTCACGGTTATCTGAGGACTGTCTCTGCAGCCCTACAGTAGCGCTGCATCGACCGCGATGCCGAGCTCACGGTTATCTGAGGACTGTATCTGCAGCCCTACAGTAGCGCTGCATCGACCGCGATGCCGAGCTCACGGTTATCTGAGGACTGTCTCTGCAGCCCTACAGTAGCGCTGCACCGACCGCGATGCCGAGCTCACGGTTATCTGCGGACTGGGTTGCATCCAGTATAGTTGTTCTTGGACTTGACATGCGGGGCGCCTAGCTGAAATTAGCAGCTTACGTGTTTAAGTTTGGTCTCAATCCTACTGTCCGCTCAGAGAGGAAGATACAGCTTCCAGATCCATCAGCTACAGCTTCAAACCAAACACCAATTAAAAATGCAACGCCGACAATCATATTTCAAAAAACCTGCGTCGGCTTCAGACGGCATGCGATAAAACCGCAACTTTTACAGTGCGACCTAAAAATTCGACTGAAGAACATGACTGTCACCGGCAAAAGTCGCGGACCCAGCACCCCGTCGTGCTGTGGGCACTACAGGCACGACCGACGGCTGCACTCGTGACAACAGCAGCTGCTGGTGGATAACTGGTCGCGGCCTCGGTCGCCATGCCGGCCTTGCATAATGTATCGCAGCGACCGATGCGATATGAAAGTCCGCCTTGACAAGGTCGCTTGCCGAACCCGATCAACACCGGATTGGCGATGTCAGGCTGCAACAGCCCACAGCGAGCCCCGACGTGCCCGGCGCGGCGGCATGACGTGACCCCGTCACCGGAGCCCCCCCCCCCCTCACTCCCCCGGCAAGGGCACGCGCAGGCACCGCAGAGCCACCAGGCTCACCAGCGCCGCATCCCACCAGCCCACGCCCAAGGCCTTCCGCGAACTGGAGGCCGGGCGGTTTCGACAGAGGCCGGGAGGCTCACGGCTGCGGTCAGCCGGCTGGGCCTAGTCCGTGCCTGGGCGGGGGCGACGGGCGCAGGTTTGGTCACGAGCGGCCAGGACGGCAGCCGGCTTAGCGGTCGGCGTCGTCACGCGCCCGGCCGCGCTGCCGGCCCAGTCGCTTCGCCGAGGTCCCCACTCCCAGGCGGCCCCGGCCCCGGACACCCAGCAGGCGTAAGCCGCGGACCACGAGCTGCGTGCCGCCTGTTCTTGCCGTTCCTACCACAAGCCAACTGACTTCGGTACGGTTTCCGGACCTGGCCACCTGGCTGTATCAGCGCTGCGACCTAGCCACCCGGCTGTATCAGCGCTCCGACCCAGCCACCCGGCTGTATCAGCGCTCCGACCCAGCCACCCGGCTGTATCAGCGCTCCGACCCAGTCACCCGGCTGCTGATCAGCTGTCCGACCTCCACATTCGGTCGCGGAGCAACCGTACCGCCTATTCATTCGACATTGACTCGGTTCACCGGCCCAGCCTCCCCGGCGCAGTGCACGCGTCCGACCTAACCATCCGACTGCGGCATGGCAGTCCGCCCTGGCCACCAGCCTGCAGAACGGCCTTCCAGCCCAGCCGTCACGCAGCTCTACAGTCGCCCGAGCTGGCACCCAGCAGCCGTCCAATCTAGCATTCGACGGCCGTTCGTCCTAACATTCGACGGCCATCTGACCTAGCATCCGACAGCCATCTGACCTAGCATCGGACAGCCATTTGACCCCGCCATTCAGTCGCAGCCCAGCCGTCCGTTCTGGCCACCTGGTCATGCACAGGACAGGAGGCCTCTCACGCGACCTCGGCTAGGGCCGGCATGACCGGGGCCAGTACCGGCGGACCCCCGCAGATATCCAGGCGCGGGAGATACTAGGGTCTTTCCACGCTGACGTGGCGTGGAGAGAATGGGCAAAAGACAATTCCACTGTTGCCCAGCTGATAGGTCCGACACCACTGGTGGGCAGGAGCATGCCTTGGCTGGGGAATCTGTGTGTGATATCAGGCAGGTGAATTTTAGCAGATTCATCATGCTTGCCTCTAAAATTGTGAGACATAGAGTGTTTTGTGTAGCACACCATCTTAATAATCTCCTCAGTTTTGACTCACATATCGTGCTATAACGTACATTATTTTGTCTCTCTTCTATCTATGCTATCTTTTCATGCACCTGGATCCCCAATCTCAAGATATCAATCAATCACTAGATAAATGTGCTACTACAAAGAAAAACCAGCATGATTACTTACCTTGATGAGCAGTCCATAAATTTGCCTCCATCCAATAGGTGCACCTTGCAGAATAGCACAGCACTCACAAAGGAAACTGAAGTCAATTCCTCTACTTCAAGATCCACCTGAAATTTGTACTTCTTCTTTTTTGTCATTATATTCATAGCTACTCTACAGCTGGGCCAATATCAAATGCTTGTTTTCTTCAGCTACACTGACACATAAGCTGAAAAAAATGGTTGATCAGCAACAAAACACATAAGAAAATGTGATAACACACCCAGGTCAGCAGTGATCTTAATGAATGCTACTGCTTTACAGCAATGGCAATGTTGCATAAAATGAGATGTGCAAGGAACAAATCCTGACATCAGCTATGACAAAATGCATCTGGGCACCACAAATATATATATATATATATATATATATATATATATATATATATTATATATATATATATAACCTACCTGCATATAAGTCAGATATGGCAACATGGTTTTGGGCAGAAGACAGTTGCATCCATCTTATAAAAATACCTCAACCACATCATGTAGGCATGATGGGCACATAAATTACAGCTTGTAATTTCAAATGATTTCTTTCTTTACAGGCACATGTGTAAACAAAAGCAGTACATCTACAAAGCATTAGCAAGCTTTTGCATTAGAAATAAGGTGATGGTAAATTTTAGGTCTCACATAATAGTGGAACAGGATGATGATTATTGATAGTATGCACATGTTCTATTTGTGCCCATGTTTCCTTGATACAAAAGGCTCAGTGATCTTGACCCTCTCCCCTTGAGAAAAAGGTATGCACCAGGTAGACACCAAGTTGATGTTATGTTGGTATGTCATGTCTGGCTAGGTGATGTCACTGCTCTGCATTATATTAAATGGTAAGAATTGAACAAAATAGGTGTGGAGGTGATAAAAGCATTCATGCAGCTCTACAAGCACCTACAAACCTTCAGGAAGTCCTGGACAGCTAGTATGTGTATTAGTAGGCAGTTACTTTGCAAAACCTATCATGATGTAGAGATAAAGCCCCCAATGTTCACAAGCCTTGGCAGGTGGACGTAATCTAAAGAAAAATCACTGACAAATTCAACCAAGTACTTACAGAGACACAAACCCAACAGCAGGGCGCAATGCTTCAGCCAATAGGTTGTCAAAATATGTATTACGCGAAGCAGGTTAGAGCTTACAATGAATTCAGGTGATATATGTTTTAAGTTGAACCCAAAGCGTTTACAAAATTTATGACACTCCACCTAAGTCACCTAAGTCACGAATGGCAGCATACTCTGCAACAACATACAGTCATTTGAGCACACTAATCATACCTGCACCGCAACACTTGTTTAGACAAACATCCACACGATACGAGCGCGGTAAACGCTACTTTTCTTCGCTCACTGACTCGGCAACGCACCCACACCACCACGAACAGGCGCCAACTCCGACGTAAACACACAGCTTAGCTACCGAATGGACAAGATGACCTTGGGTAACGACGACGCTACTGCTACCATATTCCAGAGACTTTTTAGAATATCTTAAGATATATGGGGATCAAAGTAATGGACACATGAAGCTTAGAAGCCACAGTCGACATCGCCACCAGTGGCATGGTTCCCCTTTACCCACTGGTGACGGCACCGACCTATGCGCTTTGCAATTGCATACAACCACTGACCCATCACTCACTGCCGGTGTACGTGATCACTGAGCTGGACCATATACCTGGCAAGCGGCACGTCGCGCTGGGCTAACAAGGGTCAAATTCCAACCGCTCTGTTGGCTCCATAAGGTCCGCCCGCGCTGCAACTGGGACATTTTGTTCACTGGCGATGTACTGACCTTGTGATGGTCCAACATTGGACACCAGCGACTCGTGGGCTCATGGCTCGGCTCGTGGACGAGGCGTGCGGTGACGTCAATGCTGCACAGATGAGCGCCTTCCGGCGCGTCTAAAATGGTTGCAACTAAGCGAGGCATGTTATTGGAATCTAGATATATTTTGTCGGCATTGCAGAAAGTCATATCGCAAACGTTGGTCGAACAGCCCAAAGTGCATTGGAATCCAGGCCCCATGGAGATCAATGCTTCCCCCGTTCATGCAAAACGGCTTACCGAAAGGCTGCGTGCATGACTTTCCGTCCCAGGTCAACAACGCGGACACATCTATTGTCACTGAACTGAATAGCTCAAGTCCGACGCGGGTCGGCTTTTGCAGAGCTAATAAATGGCTGTTTATGTCACTTAGGTCACTTTGACTCCTTATAGCGCGGAACTGCTGCCTTCGATCGCCTTGTTCACGTTGGGTCAAGCGACCAGCGCTGCCGATGGTGTGAGCATAGCAAAACGCGGCGGGTTTACTGTTCAACGTCGCCTCCCAGTCCCACAGTTTCGGATCTCGCTTGCCGCCACATGGTACCGATATGCAGTACCGAATATGCACATATTACCGATATAGTACCGATATGCAGGGGTACAACCAAAGGGTAGGCGGGCGCCCAGGGTCCCTCACGGGACCCCTTCTTATTGGAAATCTTACGTAGGCTGTTGGTGCTATGGATCGGTACATTAGTAAGGTGTATCATTTGAACTGCTGGTGAAAATGAGTTTTGACGCCCTTGAATAACAAGGCAAAATTTTTCAAACGCTTTGAAAATAGTTGGCAGCCTTAACAACACGTCAGCATAAGTAGGTCAATGCCTGATCCCCCAAAATACCTTTGCCAAAATTAGTGTCAATTTGGCGGTCTACACATGATCCTGATATTGACGCTAAATTGCATTCATGGATGTATGCAATGAGTTAACAAATAAAGCGGTCAGGGCACGTAAGGAGATCGCAGTGCTGGGACCTCCTTAACAAAATCCCGGCTGCACGCCTACGACCATGGGCCGTGCAAGTGTGTGATGGAGGATAGAGAAGGTAGTCACTCGGTCCATCGAGGACGGGAAAAGCTGGAACATTAACCCTTGTGGCATCATATAGAGAAAATTAGGCAAAATATCTAGCATGCCCTACGTGTCCTCCGAGTATCCATCGTTGCTAGAGCGGTCACCGGTCGAGTAGTCATCTACATACGTGACAGACTTGTACTTTACTACCTCGGGTAAAGCCGTGGTGACTTCAGAATTACTACCTCGGGTAAAGCCGGGGTGACTTCAGAATTACTACCTCGGGTAAAGCCGATGACTTCAGAATTACTTCCTCGGTTAAAGCCGGGGTGACTTCAGAATTACTTCCTCGGGTTAAGCCAGGGTGACTTCAGAATTACTTCCTCGGGTAAAGCCGGGGTGACCTCAGAATTACTACCTC